TCCTCAAAGGGCTTACAACATCATACTACAGCAATACATGCATACCGAAGTTTACAGCAGCACAACTCATCCTACTAAATCCTGGAAACAACCTGTTTACCCATCAACAGATGACTGGATAAAAAATGTGGTATCTATATATAACAGAATACTACTCTGTGATAAAGGAGGATAGATTTAAGACATTTGTAGAAAAATGGATACACCTGAAAAATACAATGTTGAATGAAATGAACGAGATACACAAGCTTAAATACCATATTGTATCTCTCATTTGAGTGAGGCAAAGTACAAAGGGAATAATAAAAGATGGATAGAGGGGGACAAAGAGATGGATCTCTTGCAACAGGAAATGGTCCAAAAGAAAAAGCACATGGGGTGAGGAGGAGGGGAAGGGAAAGTCAGTAGAATAAAGATTTACCATGCATAAGAACCTAATAAGCAAAATTAATGTAAACATTATATGCCATAACATGAGCTAACATTACTAATATTAACAAGAATACAAAATGGGATAGAAGAATTGGAGGAAGGGGGAGAGAGGGGAAAGAAGGGGATTAAAAAGAAATAAACTGTGGTATGTGCATGTAACCACTCTCCAAGATGATTGTAAACTGCATGGACTGCAAACATGCACTAATAAAATAAAAAATAAATTTTAAAAACTACATTCTCAGCCGGGAATTTAGCTCAGTGGTGCCACCGCCTGCCTCACAAGCACAAGGTCCTGTGTTCAATCGCCAGTTCAAACCCCCCCCCCCAAATTCCATTCTCATCGTTGTGACTCTTATCACTGTCTCTAAGAACCTTCTCATCATCTCACACAAAAATTCTGTACCTATTGAACAATCCCCCATTTCTCTCTCCAACCCTGTTACACTGTTCTATCTCTAGAATTTGACTATTCTAGGTACCTCATAAAAATGTAATCATATAATATTTGTTCTTTTATGTCTCCCTTATTTCACTCAGCAAAATGTCTTTGAAAAACTAAAAATTATCTAATATAATATCCTCTGAGATTCATCCATGTTGCAGCATGTGCCAGAATTTCATTTCTTTTTAAGGCTTAATAGTATTTCACTGTAGGCTAGACTGGGGATGTAGCTCAGTGGTAGGTCACTTGCCTAGTACATGCAATACCCTTGATTCTATCCCCAGAACTACACCAAACACACACACATACATACTGCAGACACCTACATTTTGTTTATCCATTCATCCACTGACCAACCTTTGGGTTCTATCTTAGCTACTTTCTCCTTGCTGAGATAAATACCCAACATCCACAAGGTAAAGAAGGAAAGATTTATTTTGGCTCACAGTTCATAGATGTTTCAGTTCATAGTCGGCTGACTCCAAGGTAAGAGTGGCATAGCGAGAAACAGTTCATGGGATGGCAGGCAGAAGGCAACAAGCAGCAAGCAGCCAGTCTGCCTTTCCCTTTTATCTCATGCAGACTACCAGCCTTTTGGGTGGTGCCATCCAGAAGTATGTTAATTCCAATCAGTGGATAATTTAGTACCACAACACTTAATCCCAGTATCACATGCCCTAGATCTACCTAACTCCAAAAACCCCGACCTATGAGCACATGAGGCTTTGGGGAAACATCTAGATACAAGCCATAACAGGTTGTTTCTAATTTCTGACTACTGTGAATGCTGCTGCTCTGAATGTGAGTATACACATATCTGAAGTCTCTGCTTTCAAGTCTTTTGTGTATATACCCAAAATGAAATTGCTTGATAATATGGTAATTCTGTTTAATGTTTTGAGAAACTACCAGAGTATTTTTTTTTTTGGTAGTACCGGGGATCAAACTTGGGACCTTGCACTTTCGAGGCAGGCGATGGAACCACTGACCTAAATCCCTGGCCCTGCCATAGTATTTTTTTTTTTTTTTGGTATGGGGGATCGAACTTGGGTCCTTGCACTTGCGAGGCAGGCGGCAGAACCACTGAGCTAAATCCCTGGCCCTGCCATGGTATTTTTGACAGCTGCTGTTACCATTTTACATTCCCACCAACAGTGCGCAAAGAATTCTAATTTCTCCACATACTGGCTAATACTTGTTTTCTGTGTGTGTGTGTGTGTGTGCGTGTTTCATGTAATAGCCACTCTAATGGATGTGAAGTGGAATCTCATTGTGCTTTTGGTTTGTATTTCCCTGACTACTAATTATATTAAGCATATTTTCGTGTGCTTATTGGCCATTTGTGTATCTTCTTTGGAGGAATCTCTGTTGTTTGCTTGAGTTCTTTATCTAATTTTGTGTTTTTGTTGTTGCTTTTGGTGGTGCAGGAGATTGAATTCAGGACCTTATGCATGTCAGGTCTACTGTCCACTGAGCTACATCCTCAGTCCTCTTTAATCTAATTTTGAATTGTTTACTTTGCTGTTGAATTGAGTTCTCTAAATATTCTAGGGCTTAACCCTGTATCAGATAAATGATTTCCAAATATTTTCTCCCCATTTTAAGTGTAAGTTGCCTCTCCATTCTGCTCATTCATAGTATTAGCTGGCATAACAAAAAGTTTCTAATTTTGATGAAGTCCAATTTATTTTTCTTTTAGCTGCCTATGCCTTTGAAGTCATATCCATGAAACAACTGCGAAATTCAGTGTCAGCTCTCACATTTTGATCTCTTATCCATTTAAGAGTTAATTTTATTGGGCCGGGGATTTAGCTCAGTGGTTCCAGCGCCTGGCTTGTAAGTGCAAGGTCCCGAGTTCGATCCCCAGTACTGAAGTTAAAAAAAAAAAAAAAGTTAATTTTATTTATAGTGTTAGTAAGAGTCCAATTTCTTTTCCATGTATATTCAATATTTCTACCAACATTTTTTAAAAGACTGTCATTTCCCCAGTGAATGGTCTTCACATCTGTGTCCAAAATTATTTGATAACATATGGAAGTGCTTATTTCTGGGCTTTCTCTTTTATTCCATTGCTCTATATGTCTCTACGTCATTACCACTGTGTTTTGATTACCACAGTAAACTGAAATCAGGAAGTATCAGTCCTCTATCTTTGTTTTGTATGTTTTTAAAGCAAATTTTCTTTTTAAATTTCCTCATTTTTTTTTTTTTTTTGTACTGGGGATCGAACTCAGGTCCTCGCACTTGCAAGGCAGGCAGCAGAACCACTGAGCTAAATCCCCAGCCCAGTAAATTTCCAAATAGGCATGCTAAACTGGACTACATCTAACTTTCTTGTTGGCAGAATTCTACAAGATTCTAGAGTTAGGACAGAAGCCCTAAGAGTATTTTAATGCTAAGAAATGAAGTTTTAGCCAGGCATGGTGACACATGCCTATAATCCTAGCACTCAGGAGGCTGAGGCAGGAGGATCACAGGTAGTTCAAGGCCAGCCTGAACTACAAAGAGAGACCTTGTCTCAAAAAACAAAAAAACAGGGCCAGGGATTTAGCTCAGTGGTGCTGTGCCCGAATCACAAGTACAAGGTCCTGAGTTCAATCCCGGGTACCAAAAAAAAATTTTTTAAACCCCAGAACAACAAAAAAAATGAAGTCCTTCCTACACTTGATTTTAGCCAAAAGGTCAAGAAGTGATATGATGTTCTTCCTATCAATAGTTTAAATCAGGAATTGCATACTTAAAACACTTAATGGAACCAGGAAGGTTACAAAGTGACCAGAGTAACAGGGTTTTAGAAAAAGAGAGTGCAGAGAATGTGAGGAACCAAGAGTACAGGCCCAAAACATACTTAAAATGAAAACACATTCTGAAGGCCAAATAAAACAATGTGCAGGTAATTTGACTCTAAGGCTACGAGGTGGCAAAGCACACCTAAGTGTGATGAATTAAATATGTTATATAGGAAAAAATACATTGTATGCTCTAAACAGCTTCTGCAGTTTAAACTGTGTGTGAGAATATATTATATGCAATGTCCATCCTATGTAGCCAAAGCAGAAAGCAATGAAAAAAAGCTGCCTGGGTTTAAATAACAGCTTCATGATAGGAGACCTAGGTAACTTCAGGCAAGGTAAGAAACTAATCTTCATTTTCCCTTTTCTACAATATAGCAATAATGTTACAAGAATCAAATGAGATAGTAGGATAAAGTGCTTAATATTAAAATCACCAGGGCCAGGGATTTAGCTCAGTGGTTTCGCCGCCTGCTGGGCAAGCGCAAGGACCCGAGTTCAATCCCTGGTACCGAAAAAAAAAAAAAAAAATCACCTGGCATTTAGTATGTGTTCAATAAAAACATAACCAAACAACAACAAAAAACCCTCAACTTTTTGTCTAAGGGTTTTAGGCGGTATATATTCAAATAAAAAAAGATAAAAGAGATTGTGAAAATCCAAGTAAGAAGAAAAAGGAGTAAAAAAAAAAAAGTAAAATGTAAGCTCAGCATATAATACGTGGTTTCTAGAAGCACTACCATGGTATCTCCAGCTGGTTTTCATTTGCCATGTTGTTTCAGACTAAACCACTACCTTCCTACTTTCCATGAGTTTAACCCTCATAGTTACCTAGAGAAGAAATTTAAACTAGCACACTTCTTTCTGTTATTCTGATAGGTGGTAGTATGTATAGTGGGATAAGAAATGGTGAATCCTAAGTTAAATTTTATTTTCAATTGCTTTCCACTAAAAATACAATCACCATGGTTATGATTTTGTTTGAAACTTATTCCACCCCTTTTATCAGTCAAAGGACTGTAAACCAATTTCTTGAGCACAAAGATTTTCAAACTTATCTCAAAAATAACTCAGTTCACATAGTGATATAATGGGGCCGGGGATTTAGCTCAGTGGTTCCGGTGCCTGCCTCACAAGTACAAGGTCCTGAGTTCGATCCCCGGTACTCAAAACAAAAAACAAAAAACAATAGTGATATAATGGCATCTTAATTTGTTGAAACACCATGAAAGAGGAGGAAGAGAGTCTGATAAAAGTGACATGAGAGTTAGTGCCATGGGAGATGTTGACATTGCACACACTTCCCTATCAATCTTTTCATACAAACTTACCAGTTTTACACTCTCTGCACATGAACTTTCCATCAGGGACTGATGTCAATCCCAGGCACTCCAAGTGAAAGTGTTTGCAGCACTCTCCCTCACAAGGAACCAGAGAGTCACCAGACCTTTCGCAGATCTGTAATATGGAAAAAGCAGTGGTTCTCAAGCTTTGGCAGGCATCAGTCACCCAGAGGGCTTATGAAAATATACATCACTGGATTCCTGTCTCAGAGATCCTGATTCAGTAGGTCTAGAGGACCAAGTATTTGCATTGCTAACAAGTATTCTGAAGATGCTGATACTGCTGCTGGTCCTTGGCCTTCACTTTGAAAACTACTGAACTAGATAGCTATGACCACTATTTCTGTACCCCATATGACACAAAATTTAGAAAGCCTTACTTCAGCACAATGCTTGCCTAGCATGTGGGAGGGCCCAGATTCAATCCCCAGTATCACAAAAATAAATAAATGTATATATGTCATACTTGAGCTTTTGATTCCTTCTTTGGAATCTGCATACTTTAACCTTTTTCTCTTAGAACAAATCAATAGTTTTCCAAAAAAAGTAAAAACACATTTTAAAAGTTAACATGAATTCAAATGTAGGAAAATGTTTTTGAAATGGGTCATCTGCTATTTACTCCCAATTAATATCACAATGACAACTGGCATTTACATTTGAATAAGTATTCCAACAATGACGGAAACAATGAGTTGGAAAGAGCTTCCAGACCTGTAGCTTTAAAGTAACAGCATGAGTTCGAAAAATACTGTCTTCTTCGTCAAGAGGTAAGTGTATTATTGGCAGAATATGATCACATCCATTTTCAGTCAGAGGATGAGTAAATCTGCCTACCTGACACACAGTGTCCTTTCTACTCATTCCAATGCCTCTTCTGGACAAACTTGAATCCATGGACTGTACATCAGAAATATCTGCATCTGCAGCAGCTGACGGGCTATCTATTTGTTTTCCAAAGCCTACCTATATGAAAAACAGTACATTTGTAAGAAAAACTAAACAAATATTCCATAGAAATTAGATGCAATGAAAAGCCTGATAAGACTTGCTCAAATAGATCTTAACACAAATAATCCTTTTTTTCCTTTTTTGGCAGGGGAGTACCAGGGATCATACTCAGGACCTTGTGCTTTCGAGGCAGAGGCAGGCGCAGGAACCACTGAGCTAAATCTCTGGCCCTCCATTCATTTTTAAATCCCTTAAACCTGTATATCTATCATTTTGCAAGTAACTGTAAACAAACTGCTTCTGGTATGTTAAAAGATCGGCAAAATTAAGACATAAGTCCCAGGTGTGGTGACACATGCCTGTAATCCCAGCACTTGGGAGGCTGAGGCAGGAGGACCATGAGTTCAAGGCTCACACAGGCTGGTGAGTTCAAGGACAGCCTGAACTACAGAACAAGACTCTGTCTCAAAAACCAAACCAAAACAAAACAGAACACTATAAGTTAGAAAACAAGCAGTGATTTTTTTTTCCCTAAAGAGTATTTTTTAAATTCCCCAAGTCAGGCAAAAGCATTTGCTACTTTGGTTTGCAAAGCAGAATACAATACGGCATTCTACCCGGACCCTTGCACATATTTACCTGCAGATCACTCAATCCTCTAGAGTCGGAGTCAGATGTGTCTCTGTAGGCTGAACCAGTCATTTCTACATCAGTTGAGGCACGACTCCTTTTCTTTAGAGGTTTACAGGAATCTGAAATCTCGCTGGCACCTTAATACAACACACTGAAATTAATTCTAAAATAATACTTAAAGTTTGTTTTAATTTTTTTGTGGGAGAATATTTTTCCCCAAACTCATCTTTAGTGAGAAAAACAGCACAGCTCTCTTTGTAACACTGAGGCCATAAGTCAACACTTTATAAGCTTCTGACCTTCTGACCTTCCTGGTAGTGATTTAGTTTACAGCCGCTCTATTAAAACATTTAATTCAATTCACCTGCCCTAATGCTATTTTCAGTCAGCAGAGACCAAATTCCAACCAAAAAATTGTCAAGTCTATGAAGACTGCAAGATAGATGATTGATTTGGAGCAATTCAAAGAACCATTCAATTTGGAGGGGGAAGACATAAAACCCAACACACTGTGTAGCTTACAAATATGGTAGCAGAAACATCTCCATCTTGTTTTTATTAGGGATGTGACAAATCTTTTGATTTGTATTCGATTCGTACACGGATAGTGCCATTTTCCCCCAAATTTTGCAATTCAGTTGATTATTGCCCCCCAAATAAATTTCGAATGTTCATAATCGTTCATCTGAGACTTCCTTGGTGAAGTGGCATTTATTGTGACCATTAACAAGTGCTGCAGCACATCAACGTGTCATGCCATTAGCAGGCACACTTCTGAGGGTAGTGAATGGATAGCGTTCAATGCAGCCAAGTCACGAAGAGCTGGATGAGAGGCCTCTATGTGGAATTTATGCGGGAAGGAGTAAACATGAAAAAAAAAAAAAAGGCAGAGAATAGTGTGGAATTTTTTTTAAAACTGTGTGTAATACAAATCCAGCCAAAACAATAGTGCAAAAAGTTACAAAGCAACAATCTCTTGGGCTAATGCAGTATAGGCTATACAGAAACAGCCACGATGAAATGTGCAGATCAGGCACGGTGAATACCAAGGAACCGGTTAATATTTCCACCCACAGTTTGTATTTTGGATTTTCCCCCAAAATTTCCATACAACAGACAGACATCTAGATCAGCCCAGCAAGCTATGGTGGAAGTGTGTAGTCCAGAAGAGACCATAAAGAAACAAGTCTCCTGAGGCCACGAAGATCCGCAACAGGCTGAGTGGGAGCAGCACTTGGTACATAGCCATGTTCTGTGGTGGAGGATGTGGGCCTCGGGAGACTGCTCAGATTACTGGAACCTTGTTATCACATCCCATCTACAAGTTTTTCACTGAATGCTTCCTGACAACTATGAATGAGGGTGCCTGCCCATGTTAACGCTGATTTAAAAACACAAGTACACAAATCTATCTCCTTCATTGCTGGTGTATGGACCCAGAACACCACCACAAAGTATTTCCTTGGCCTAAAAGATCACTGGATTAACAAGGAAGTTTTAATAGAGGAACAGGAGTGCTGTACTGAGAGGCTTTCGAAGGGAAACACAGGTACCGCCATTTTCGATGAGTTTCTGAAAATGATAGAAAAACGAGATTGCTGAAGACAGCTGTCATGCTGTTCTCCATGATAACGGCACTAATATTAAAAAAAAATAAGAGCTTTTAATGATCGAAATGTATACAGTTTGGGCTGTTTGGCAAAACCCTGCAGATGTGCATTAATGATGCTTTATTTAAAAACAAAAAAAAAACCCCCAAAAATAGTCCATGTTGGAATTGATCAGTGTAAGTTAAACGGTGGTTTTTAGGCTGGACTCATGATTTAAGCTGTACCCATCCAGCTCGGACTAAAAAAAGAAAAAAAGAAAAAAAAGAAAAGAAAAAGGAAAAAAAGAAAAAGAAAAAATCATTTGAATGTTAAAGCAATTGTTCAGTCTTGAAGAAACCAGGCAGGAAAACGCCAATAATGATGATTGGCCAAATCGAAATCGAAAACAAAGAAACTGTTTATCGAGCCGCCGACAAAGAAATCTTGCATGGAGACTACAAGTCTGGAGTTTCTGGGATGAAATTGTACAGGAATCTCAGTCCACAGTTTCCTCAATCGCTGCGGAGACGGAGCTGTCACTGAATCTGACAGAGCCCTGCACTCCCCGGTCCGCCGACCCTGTGGAATGGTGGAAACACAACGCAATCAGGCCTCCTAATCTCGCAGCGATCGCGATGTCTTTTCTTGGAGCTCCGCCAAGCAGTGTTCCCTCCGAGAGGCTGTTCAGTTCTGCTGAGGATCTCCACGGAGACCATCGCTGCAGACTTCTCCCCGAGAATGCAGAGAGGCTGGTGTTTTATTTTATTTATTTATTTTTTAAATAATGCAATTTGCCCAGAGTAAACTACAAGTATTAAATACAGTTTTGAGCTCACCAAAAACGCATGAATCATGCTATGGAGTTTGTACTGTAGTCAAATTGCACACAGAAAATACAGATATAAGTTTAAGGTTTCTTAAACTTTGTGCATATCTCAAATAGTCACATAAAGTCATCTAGTAGTGGCCATAAATATGCTATGGATCATTTTAATTTACAAAAAAGGTTTTACAGCACTGTAAAAATAAATGTGGCAAAATTTTTTTCAATTGGGTTCTTTTCTGATTTGTCATAGTCCATGTTTGACAAACATTAATAGCTACTATTCGGTATTCAGTCGAATACCAAAAAAAGTGGATTCGTCACATCCCTAGTTTGTAAGTCAGTGAAACCCCAGAATTTTATGGAGAAAAGTTGGAAACTGTATCAAGTCTACATGGTGTTCTCCAATTTACCAAAACAAATAAGACTTTTCACATGAAGGTACAGAGTAAGATCAACTCTAAAAGTCACACACACACACACACACACACACACACACACACACGGGGAATACTGCAATTTCACACTGGAGAGCAACAACAATGATTTACAGAGACAGACGAAAATACATGAAGTACAAATAAGTGATTCTTTAAAGCTGGTTTAATCAAGGAAATGCAAAGCAACATTGTATTAACTCACCTTTCTGTAATCCAATCTTCACTGTAGCCTGAGGAACTGTTTCAACCTGTTTGGACAGAAAAACACAGCATTAACAAGAAGTGTTTTTTTCACTTTTAATTAACAGGGAAAAAATAACACTTTCATCAATCTAAGTGATGATGAGTGATCAATGTATCTAAAATCTGAACTCAGTCCCATTTTCTGGGTCAAGTTCTCTATCTCAAGGCCAGGGAGGGTTTAAATCCTAGCTGCCTGTGCTGAATACCAAGTGACAACACAAAGCCACATGCTCTCTAGCAAAGACTTTTCCCACCATTCCCTTGGTATATGAAAAAAAAGAATACTTTCCTCAGTGTCTGGTAGGCAAGAGAGGGGTTGTTTCTGCAACCAGCCCCAATGTTGCTTATAAACCCCTCCCGCCCCAAAGACGTTAGGATAAATTTTTACTTACTATGATACTCAGGTTAATGTAACTCACGCCACTTTAAGACCCTTCCGCGCCTGCACTCACAGCTAAGTTGCTGGGAATCAGGACCCTCTCTGTAGAGAGTGCTACAGGGCTCCATACAGCTGGAAGCTCAATACTTTTGCTGCTAGTACAAACTTAACAAAATAAGTTTGTGATATTGCAAAAGCACTTTCTTGAGTGTCTTATGAACAGTGTCTTGATCCTACATTAGGAGAGCGAGATCAGAAGTTATTCTGCCAATGTATATGTAAAACACGTGGTAATTTGAGGATTGTACCATTAGAATTAGAGAGAGGATGCTGTTTGGAGGAGTTCCTGTTTAAGCTATCAGTTGAATTTTATGTTTAAGATGTGGTGAAATATGCATGTTGAAACACATTTTGTAAATATTTAAGGATTGTTCTAAGCTTTTTAAAAAATTTTTTATTTTTTTACAACAGGTAAAAAAACATACAACATAAATGCTTTTTATAAGATACAATTAGTCATACAAATATAAAATCTTCTAACAATCACTGGTATTATTCTACTACTAACTATAACACAGTGGCATTAACAATGTGTCCCATTTTTTAGTACTCATTCTGCTTACTAATTTTAAACTGGTCACAGACTGAATTTGGGAACCAGGTGGCAAAATCACAACTTTATTTTAGTAACGAATACTATAGATTTGCAAGAGCTTAAGATTTTTTGGAACATAATTTTCTAAGTATGACAGTTAATATGCTAAATTAATGACAAATTAGTATATTATTTCACTTTTAGTTGAAAATTCTGGAAAAATTGTTTTACATGCTTGTGATACCATAGAGCACCCACAAAGACAGATTTTAAATTTAGAAGTTTAAAATTATGAAGGCAGTATTTTAAATAGAAAAGTCTACACTCTTCCATACTAAATGATTTTTAAAATATAAAACTTACTGGAACTAATTCTACTCAGAATATGTTCTGTTTAATATCAGGTGTCCAGGCTGAATAAATGGATATTCACTTTTAAAAAATTAAGAAAAGTTTGGATTGTGAATTTAAAGGAGAATGGTTTCTAAAAATGTCTTTGAAAGGGTAATTTTAAAATATATATTACTACATTGACTATACCAGTTGAACACATTCAGTCAAAATGTACCTCCTCTTCTTTTTAACTTATATATTGTTTATCTGACAACCTATTCCAGGTGAGTGCCATTTCACTGGGAAAATAACATTCCAAAAAATCTGTGATATCAACAGAAAAACCAGATCATCTATAACTATCTGCTTCTTAAATATAAGTTAAATTAATTTGATTTATTTAAAAAAAACAAAATACATACCAGCAGCTTAAACCAAAAATCAAAATTTTTTAAAAAGGGAATTCAATGATGCCCCCCCAAATCATAAAGACATAAAATCATTTTGCTCATAACAGAAATTTGAAAATAAATGTGAGGGTTCTAAAAGACTCGAACCACTGGCTTCCCATCCCCTGAAGCCTGTCTGTTTTGTGTGAAAATGCCGGAAGCAGAATCCCAGGGATGGCTGTATTAGGACTGGGCACTGGAACTCCCAGGACAGAAGCATAAGACAGTCCAGAAAGGAAACCCAGGATGGAGGAAGTTTCACTTTCTTTTAAGATACTGAGATAAGCCACAACATTTACAAATACAGTGTTTTAACTCTCTACATGTAGGAAGCCAACCTGCTCCTTTTTGATCTTCTTCTTTGGCACAGCTTCAGCAGACTTCTCTGATTCAGAACGAGTCCTAATTGATCTCCTCTGTTGCTTCTTTTCTACTGAGCCTAAGAAATGATTTAAACACATAAACACTCATTTAAGGATCCCTTGACATTCATGTAGTTAAGATTTGGCCAGATTCTTTGCCTTTCTCACCCATTACTTTTGGAATTTTAATTATAAGCCATTAAAAAGCTTTTACATACTTGGGAGCACAAAAAATTATTTAATACATCAAATTGTAAAGGCTGCTGAGCTGAGACTGGGATCCACAACAGATAACTGGTTATACAAATAAAGGGAGATTGAATTTTTAAAAATTTTAAGGTCAAACTGGAACAGCAGAGATAATCCACTTTTGAAGGCATGTAAACACATTTAGGTAAATATATTTGAGGGATGAAAGGACTGAAGAGATGTGTAAAACTATTACCCTACTTACACAGGTATTATTCGTCCAAAATTCTTAACAAATGAGTTTAATTGATCCATAGGTAAAAAGGTTAACAGTACTTGGTAGGCTTAAATAAGTTTTCCTACTGTAATTAATACTCAAAGCAAGACAAGCAGCAAAGGCACAAAAATGTGACCCACACCTAATCATCAATTTGACCATTAAGAGATTTTGGTTACACTTTAGAATTAGTCATGGAAACCTATTTGAAACAAATTATCAAGCTTTTCCATGCTAAATGGTAAAACAAGAGGCAAAGATATTTTTTAAAACAGTATATTCTCGGGCCGGGGATTTAGCTCAGTGGTTTCACCACCTGCTGAGCAAGCGCAAGGACCCGAGTTTGATCCCCGGTACCAAAAAAACCCCCAGTATATTCTCTAAAAATAAACAGAAGAAAACTTACATGGACTCCATTTTTGGAAAGGATAAAACTTAGACTAAGGACTACAACTTGAAAAAACACTAAGATTTGATTTGGCTGTGCGATCTTGAGGAGAAACGATGCCTTCAGTGAGGCTGGTTGTCATGTTTTCAATGCTTGGACCACCTAAAATGGTCCTAAGTAAGAATACACTGGCCACAGGAGGAAGGTCTTAAGATCTTCTATAGCCGGGTGTGGTGGCACTTGCCTGCAATCCCAGCACCCAGGAGGCTGAGACAGGAGGGTTGCAGTGGGTTCAAGACCAGCCTGGGCTACACAGCCCAAGGCCAGGCTAAACTACAGAGCAATACCCCATCTCAAAACAAAACAAAACACAACAAAAACAATCTATAAAATTAGTTAGAAGCTATGCCAATACAGCCTTCCAGATAACCTATGCATTTTCTGATTTCATTGCTCTGGGTTATATGTAAATGGCTTCCTTCACCTTAGTGCAAAGCCAAACCAAAGAAAGATCCCACTACAATAATAATGTGTTTTTGGTGAGGAGTGGGTAGTTTGCTAATAGTCCATTCTGGAGCTGTGATTAATCAATTTCTAGGAGAGAAGTCACAAATAAAAGTGTTGGCTCCTTCTTTTATTCTCATTCTTCTTTCACTGATGAAAATGTTTACTAAGTCACCTACCCTCTTAGGCTAACCCAAGGATCCCAGAGATCCATACTTTGGTATAATCATCAATATTCAAGTACCACCAGCAGAGAAAAAAATGTAAATGGAACTGCTTCAAAGCAAATAAAAAACTACTTGTTTTGATGATGACAATATATATGAACGATGAAGTGCAGATGAGATTGGATCTGATGTCTTACAGGAATGAGGCAACATGGCTTCCTAAAATCATTCTGAAAGCTACCCACTAAAAAGTACTATAATGCTTATCTTCTAAGAGACTGGGGGTGAGCATGTCTGGATTTGGAAAATAGCTGAGAAATCTAGTGTGAATGCAAATATAAGATTTTCAAACCACAGAAATGTAGCAGTGTCACATATCTTATGTATCTCCTAAGTTTACTAAGGCTCAAGAATTCTTTTTCAACAGTACCACTTGAGATAATAATGCAACTGGCTTATGGAGAAAAAACAAATTTCCTTCCTGACCCTTCAACTACTAAGAGTCAATTTTTACATACAAAAAAAGCAAAATGGTCATTTAAAAAGACAAAATACGCTGATCAACCACATCTAAAAACCAAACTTAAACTAACACTAAAGTTTTAGAGCACCCATCCCTAAAGTAAGGTTACAGTCATAATTTACAACCAAAAAAGCCTTTTTCCAGATACAGAGAATTATAACCTTCCACTTAATTAACAGTATCTTCATAGCAGAACTTAAATCTTACAATGAAAAGATTACATGAAAAAGTTCAGTAACTGAGGAAAAGCAACAAAAACAATCTCCATTAAAAATAAAAGTACAGGGCTGGGGATTTAGCTCAGTGGCACCACGCCTGCCTTGCAAGTGCAAGATCCTGAGTTCGATCCCCAGTACCAAAAAAAAAAAAAAAAAAGTATATTTAGGATCAGTCTACTATATAAAGAATTTACTTTCTCCCTAGTTATGAATTACAGATGTTTAAAGATCTTCCTAATTTAGGTATCCCACTTAAATTCAGACAAATTAACAACAGTTTAGAAGAGTAAAAGAGATAACAAACTGATATACCTATGAAAAGCTGAAGCTGAAAGGTACTTTTAATAGTCAAAGAAAAAAATGCTTTAATTATGGCTAATTAGTGCAAAACTCAAGTCCATTTTATGCAATCCTTCAACATTACAATTTTTTTTTACCTTTTTATCTTTTTAAATTTGATACCGGGGATCGAACTTGGGACCTTGTGCTTGCGAGGCAGGCGGTGGAACTACTGAGCTAAATCCCCAGCCCTACAATTGTTTTTTTTATACAATGGTACCTTGGTTCATGAGCTTAATTCTTTCCATGGTTCTGATCACAAACGGAATTGGACGAGAAGTGAAATTGTGACCAAAATCATGGAAAGAATTAAGTTCATGAACCGAAATACCACTGCATTTATTATTATCGTTTTGTTTCATTTTAGTTTTTTGGAGACAGGTCTTACTATGTAGTCCAGGCTGGCTCTGAATTCATTATGTAGCCCAGGCTGGTCTCAAACTTGCAGTTCTCCTCCTGCCTCAGCCTCCTGAGTGCTGGGATTAGAGACGTGTGCCATCATACCTGCCACAATTTTATTTTATTAAGCAGTATTTGAAAGGATACAAGTTACAAACTTGGCTCTGGATCTTGCTACTCCGTCCTTTCTTTAGTTCTGCTTTCTTTCCTAACTCAATACTGAATAAAGGTACACTGTTTAATATATACCATCCAACATGTGCCCCATGTCCTCTGCCACCATTTCTGTCCTGCAGCTCCATTATTATTTTTTAGAAAGCTAGCCCAAGTCCTCTTCTGAACAGTGATTACTTTTACTTAGCTTTTGTAATAAGCAAGAGTTTTATTTAAATTTACTTAGTTCAGTTTTTTTTTTGGTACCAGGGATCGAACTCGGGACCTTGCACTTGCGAGGCAGGCAGTGGAACCACTGAGCTAAATCCCCAGCCCCATAAATTTACTTTGTAAACATACCTCTTCATGCCACTCAACACAGGTTTGCCTGGCTTACTATTTTTTTTTTTAATACTGGAGATCGAACTCAGGACTTCGTGCTTTCAAGGCAGGCGGCGGAACCACTGAACTAAATCCCCAGCCCTGCCTGGCTTACTATTGATTCAAGATTACTATTTCAAGTCTTATAACTTTGACCCTTCCAGAAAATTATTTGGCTACTGTAATATTGTGGTATAAGAAGTATATACTTGGTTTCTGCTCCTGGTTCCTGGCACACAGATCCTAAATCTCTTGTAATTTCATACATGATAGGGGTGCTGGGTGCATCCTGTTCTAATATTTGGTCTTGGACCCCAGTTTCTGACAGTTCTAATCCCTTGAGACTTCCTCAGTGACAGAGAAAATAAGGTAACTCTTGATGGACTACTAGGTAGGGGGTGGTCTCCTGAAAGACCAAACCATGATAAATTCTTGGCCCCACTCCATCCTCCAAGGAGGGAGACAGGCTGGAGACTGAGTTAATAATTGATCATACCCTTTCGTCTCCGCCGCTGACATGCCATCCAGACTGAGGAAGACCCGGAAACTTAGGGGCCACGTGAGCCACGGCCACAGCCGCATTGGGAAGCACCAGAAGCACCCAGGAGGCTGGGCTAATGCTGGTGGCATGCATCACCACAGGATCAACTTCGACAAATATCACCGGGTTACGGTGGGAAGGTTGGTATGAGGCATTACCACTTTAAAGAGAAACCAGAGCTTCTGCCCAACTGTCAACCCTGATAAATTGCGGACATTGGTCAGTGAGCAGACACGAGTAAATGCTGCCAAAAATAAGACTGGAGTAGCTCCCATCATTGATGTAGTGCGATCGGGCTACTACAAAGTTCTTGGGAAAGGAAAGCTCCCAAAGCAGCCTGTCACCGTGAAGGCCAAATTCTTCAGCAGAAGAGCTGAGGAGGGTGTTGGGGGAACCTGTGTCCTGGTGGCTTGAAGCCACAGGACAGGCACTCATTAAATGCTAACAAATGGTTTTCAAAAAAAAACCCAAAAAACTGATCATACCTATGTGATGAAGCTCATACAAAAATCCTGAAGGATGGGGACTGGAGAATTTCAAGTTTAGGGAACATGTGAAGGTGCTGGGAGAGGGTGAACCCAGAGAGGGGATAGAGTTCTGCAACCCTTTCCACATATGTTGTTCTATGTATCTCTTCCATGTGGCTCTTCATCTGTATCCTCTGTAATATCCTTTATAATAAGGTGGTAAACGTAAGTTAAGTGCTTTCCTGCATTTTGGAGAATTGGTCAGGGTGACAAAAATCCACCCATCTAGAAGTGCACTGAGTAGTCAAAGTATAGCAGGAGAGAAAGCAGTTTGTTGTTTTTCTCTATTACTTAGTCAGTTAAGATTTTAAAAAAACAGGGGCCGGGAACTTAGCTCAGTGGTTTCGCTGCCTGGTGCGCAAGCCCAAGGACCCGAGTTTGATCCCTGCTACCAAAAAAAAAAATCAATTAAGATTAAAAAAAAACAACAACTAAAGAACGAAATAAAATAAATCTCAGGGCCAGGGATTTAGCTCAGTGGCACTGCACCTGCCTCACAAGCACAAGGTCCTGAGTTTGATCCCTGGTACCAAAAATAAATAAAAAAAACAAATCAAATCTCCTAAATTAAGATTCCAAATGACCAAGCTAATCAATACTTAACTCTTTTCTTGATGGCTATGTGAAGCAGTTTTACAGAAATATTACTGATACAATACTTTTATATAAACCAAACCCACCATTCCATTGAAACCCTAAGATCCTGTCAGCCTCTAAAAAATTACGTTAAACATTCTAAAGGTATATATAGAATATAGGCATCTCTCCTTTAGGCAATAACAGAGCATGATTTTCAATTCATGGTGTCCATTTATCAGAGAACAGGTTACAATAGGATAGTTAGGTCATAGGCCTCTCACCTACCAAGACCTTGCATACCTAGAACTAATGAAAAGAGCTCTGATATCTGCCAATTTGCTTCCAATAGAGGATGAAGGAAGACATGGTAAAAATGTGCTAATAGTGCTAGAAAACTAAAGCTATTATTCCCATCCAACTAGAGATAATCAAATGTGCAATGTTTAGATTTTATAGCTATTCTTATAGAACTGTCCTTTTTTAAACTCTTGAAGGAAAAATAACTGTTACTATGAATAAAATTCTCTACCCCTAATCCATTATTTCTATTGAAATAATTGTTTTATAATTTGATTTTTGGGGGGTGGGGGGAAATGTGGTCTTGCTATGTTGCTTTGCCTGGTCTTGAACTCCTGAGCTCAAGTGATCCCTGTGTCTCAGTCTTCTGAATATCTGGGACTATAAAAGTGCACCACCATGCTAGGCTCTATAATTTACTGTTTTTTGGGGGGGTACTAAGGATCAAACTCAGGTCCTTGCATTTGCAGGGCAGGTGGCGGAACCACTGAGCTAAATCCCCAGCCCTGCAATTTACTTTTGATAATGAAGTTTCTTAGTAACACAGCAGAACAGAATGATGATCTCTCAAAATGGATCCATATACTCCTCATTCACACCCACCTGTAGGACCAGATGTTGCTTCAGGAGATGATATATTCTGTGTTGGCTTTTCATTTCTCTGGTTTGGTGAGGAAATTATAAGCCTGTCTTGCCCCCTGACACTTATTTCCGTTTTGTTACCAATTCCCTTTAAAATAAGGCAAAATTAAAAAAAAAAAAAGGTAATTACCAAGCAAAAGGCATCACGGACTTATGAAGTTGGCTTAACATGATTATAATTTCCTTGAATTTATTGATCTTTGATTCTAGTTCATTTATGTTAGCCATTATCACAACAATTTTATTGTCATCAGCATGTATTAGAAAATGTACCATGAGAGCATGTAGGAAAAGACTATTTGTCTAAGTCCAAGTGATAGATATTCCTAAGAAATGAGCTTGTTTCACTCAATATTCTGTCAAAATATTTCCTGTTCTGGTTTCTTCTTTTATACATACAGCAGATAACTCTAGTCACTTTCATTTGATAAAGTGCCCTATTACAAGATAGAAAAGTCAACAGGTCTGAAGAGACAAGAATATTTTTAGATAAAGAAATACATCATTTGTGATGACCAAAATGTGACCAATAAGTAATCTGGAGCAAAAGAAGGTAGGTAAAATTAATTTAAGTCTCATTTAGGTATTTTTAATGCAAAGGAGTACAAATGAGAAGTGATTTATAACTACTTTTTAAAAATCAATTTTATCTCAAATTTCCTTTAAATAACATTCTTAGTGGCAAGGGGGCTGAGTTTAATTTGTGCATCTAGAAGTAGATAAAACTAGCTCCAAGAATATCACTATTTTGTATTTTTAAAAGATTCAAAAGACTCGTTTGCTATCAAGAGAATGAAAATGGAGACCAAACATAAGCTTTACCAGGGCCCACAGAGGACTTTGAATGTTTCTAAGAAAATATATTACTAATGAGGCAACTTACATTTAATTAATTATTTTAATGTGCATACGACTCTCTTGGGAATAAACAAACACAGAATTCTTAATTTTTTAAAAGCAAACATGCATGAAATGCAACTAAATTTAAATAAAAAACCCAAAGCTGTGTGGGTTGGGAGAGTGGTGAGGAGGTATACAGATATTACCAATGTTATGGAAGGGGGCTGTCTTTAGGCTAAATTGTAAGTGCCTTAAATGGAGGCCCAGGGTAGGGAGATGGAGGGATTTGGTTTGTAGCGATTATTTCTAATCCATCATCCAGGCTATCACCACAATTAAATGTCACAGGACAAACAGTACTGGGATTTCAATAAAATGCAGTTAGATATCCTAAGAACAGGAGTCCAACAAAATTACTGGTGAAACCAAGCAGATCAGCAAGTAGAATTAGTACAGTAGTTTTTATAACAATGGTTAATTCAGAAAACTGGAAAAATGATTTTAGTAAGAAGCCCACACTGCAACAAAGAAAAACTATACAAACTACAAATAGGCAAACTGCCCAGTTTTTTTCCATGACTTTCAGGACCTACACTCAATTTTGGCTGCATAGCTCAAGATTAATCTACTACAGATGGGAATATTACAAAAGAAAATGAAAAAAAAGAAAAGAAAAGAAAAACATAGACGTTTTGCCTATGGCTTTTTTGTCCCAGGGTAAATAAGACTGCATATTTCAAATGTGGGAGAGACAAAGGGTATTTAAAATACATCCTTGTGTTGTTTCTTTAAATGCCAGCATTGACTACTTTTACAGTAACCCTCTCCAAAAACAAAACAAAACAAACGAAAAACATAAAAAAGAAGGTACCTTCGTTGAATAAACAAACTGATCGATAAATTTCCCATCTCCTGTTGCGTTTTGAAGAGCAAACACTTGTTCAATTTTTACAACTGGGGACATGTTACACTTCTGCAAATCCAGGCTCCCTTTGTGCATTGTAATGGAAGCTGGTAAGGATTTCCTTGCGGCTGCTGTTTTCCAGGCTATTTTAACAGGGGGTGGTTCTTCCTCTTCCACACTTGTGTGCCGCCTCTGACTGTGTCTCCGAAGGTCAGTACTTGACTGAGAAGAGGCCACCTCCCCTGAATTGGTCTGTTCTGGTTGAATATGCAACACAGATCTTGGTCTTCGGGGTTTTTTAACTTCGGTCTTGGAGATAGGATTCTTTTTTGTTTGGGATAAAGCCTCTTCAGGCTGTTTATCAATATAGATGAAAGTATACTGTTCTATTCTTTCTTCTCGAGTCATTTTCAATGCTTTTTCTGCATGGGCAATGCCAATATCCCACTGGGCACGTTCTCTTTGAGGTCGGGGTTTCCGGATCTTGAAAAAGGGTACAGGCATTAATGTGATACACTTTAGCTTTTTTTTTTTCAGGTACTGGGGATCAAACTCAGGACCTCGCGCTTGTGAGGCAGGCTCAGCACCACTGAGCTAAATTCCTGGCCCAATGTGATACACTTTAACAGGTACACTGAAACCAAAATGCATTTCCCAATTGGTTCTGTTATCTTTTTGGGTACACATGAATATCTTTGGGTTCTTCAGTCAAATAAGTGGACTATCTTAACTCTGTAACTTTGATTTAAATTAGTATTACTCTATTAGATGTCATTAAGTTCTATTCTTACACGTCCTTTCTCTACTGACCACTTGCTAGGTGAGTTCCCCAAAGAGGAAGTTGTCCTCATATCATAATCACAAAATGCTAGTGATAACTAGGGAAAAAAGAAGAAAGGTTACAAAAATGACTGCTTTCAGTGGCCAGTTGAATACTAACATTAAAAGTGACAACCCAAAGCTTCCTCCACAGCTAGAGGGTGGGGGTGACTAACAGGTACTATGGTGATCACACGGCAAACTAGCAGAGAACCAATAAAGGTGTGCTGCTAGTCTGTACCATAATACAAATAGGGACAGAAAGGAGTGAAAGGAGGAAGAGTAAGGAACAAATAAAAGCTGACAAGACCAAAGACAGTAGGCAAGTACAAGAGAAAAAAATACAGGAACCCAAATCACAGTTACCACAGGTCTCTAATATCCATGGTTGATCAGAAGAACTTTGAATTGGCAGGAGAGGTAAGAGAGCTTTGGATAAAATTGTGTGAGGTGGCCAAAGCAGTGATTAGAAGTGTAGGAGATGACTGAATCAATTAGGACTTATTCAGAAGGTTAAGCTGAGACAGACTGAAGTCAGTTAATTAAACTATGAGGCAGTATAGTATATGTCAAATACCAATATATGTCTGTACATTATAAGTCTCATAAAACCAATCAGTTCTCTGTGATAACATTTAACTCTAAAGTAAAAAATGGCACATTTATGAATCACAAGTGACCCATATTATAAGTAGTCGAGTTTAGAATCTCAACCAGATTATCAAGAGGACATCAAAATTCTATAATATCTATCACTGTAGCAAATATATTTCCTGGTTCCATCTCTTGTAAGTTCTGTGCGAACCAGTTACTTAAGCTTTCTGTGCCTTAGTCTCTTCATCTGCAAAAAAAAAAAAGAGTAAGACTATCTACCTCATAGGAGTTACTGTGAAGATTAAATGAGTCAATACATATAAAAAACTCTTAGGGTCGGGGATGTAGCTCAGTGGCACCGTGCCTACCTTGCAAGTGCAAGGTCCTGAGTTCAATCCCAGGTACCAAAAAAAAAAAAAAAAAGAAGACACCAAGGGCCGGGGATTTAGCTCAGTGGTTTGCCACCTGTCTTGCAAGCACAAGGACCCGAGTTTGATCCCTGGTACCAAAATAAATAAATAAATAAATAAATAATAAAAAATAAATGTGATACTCCAGCAATACAAGAAGACATCAAAATAGGAAAATTTTAAATCCATGGATTTTTCCAAATTTCACTGACATCTTATAGACTTACACATATTAATTCCATTCACAAAAGAATCCAACACTCTATTAAGCAGGTAAAGTTTTTAATAATACTATAATGTTATTTATGTAACATGTAAATCCTACTGTACTTACAAACCTACTGATCACTTACAGTGATTAAAACTGAACTTAAAGGAATTAAAATAACATCATTAAAACAACTGTCTGAATTCAAGTATGAAAGATTCTGAATTATTAAGTCCTTTAAAAACCATATCAGTGGACTAGGGTACAGCTCAGTGATAAAACACATGCCTGGCATAGGTTTGATCCCCAGCATCAAACAATGTGTGTGCACACACGCACGCACGTGCACATGCACAGATACACCCCAGACTAATAAAAATATTTATACTTTTGGCAGATTCGCACATGCACACAACCTAATATAATCATTCTTACCTCCACTGCCCCTCTGCCCTGCCTTCCCCCATCCCATTAGGCAGGTCTCAGTGTATATATTCTGATCATATCCATCCCCTCTATTATCCACCCTTACACCCTCTTTCCCCTTATTCCCTTCCTCTTGTCTAATAATAGTCTCCTTTCTACTTTCTTGGCATATATTTTGGATTCCACATATTAGGGAGAACATGTGATATTTCTCTTAATGAATTAGACTTAACAAAAATATTAATATGCTGTATTTACCTTTTGTTTTTCAGAGTGATTGCTGGCTTGTTTGGTTGCTTCAGCCAGTAATTCTTCATACTGTTTATGACCTTTATACTCCCGTACCCGCTTTTCATGAACCCATGCCCTCTCTGGCTGGTTGCTAAAAAATTGGACATGATATTCCCGGGCACCTGTAAGTAAAAATTCTTAATTATTCCAGAACATAAGCATCCACATATACTGTACTTAATTAAGCAAAAGGGCCTCTTATCTAGGTTCCTTTCTGTTACTCCCATTAAAATTTGTATATTTTGAATTGTCCAAAGACATATTCCAATATCTACCAATTATACAACTAATAGTTCTGTGAAAATCACTCCAAATATGTAGGTGTGGTAGCACATGCCTATAATCCCAGTACTCTGGGAAGCTGAGGCAGGAAGATGGGCAATTTAGCAATTTATTAGCAAGACCCTATAACAAAATAATTTTTAAAAAGTTTAAAAAGGGATGGAGATATTGGTCAGTGAAAAGGCCCTGGTTCAATCCCAGTACTGGGAGGAAAAAGAAATCACTCCAAATGATTAAAATCAGTCCAGCAAGTTTTAAGAGAAAAGCAGAAATTCTGCTAATTATTAGATTTATTGCTTTGCTTATACTATTTCTTCATTTGGCAGCACTGGGGATTGAACTCATGACTACATCCCCACTCCTTATTCTGAGACATGGTCCTGGTAAATCAGACTGCCCGGTTAGAGCTGGGAATTTAGCTCAGTGACACCATGTCTGCCTTGCTAAGCACAAAGTCCTGAGTTCAATTCCCATACCAGAAAAAAAAAAATTTTTTTTTCCAGATTGCCCAGGTTGAGTTTGAGTTTAATGTGTAATTCTCCTGTCTCAGCCTCCCAGAGTCCTAGGATTACAAGTATGTACCATTTCACCCAACACTGTTACATAATTTATTTCTACATACTGTCAATCTTTTCATAAACAAACTGGGATTATAAATAATGTTTCTTTTGAAAAATGTCTGACCTTGTTTCCTTGGACTTTTAAAAGACAAATGCTGATTAAACTGCTCTTCTAGCTATATGAATAGGAGACTCAGGGATCAGGTGAGGTCTTGAAACTGTCTTTATAACATTATCAGATATTACTGGTCTTTCTTACTATGCTGACATTTGTATTTAGTAGCAACAAAAGCGACAGCAGATAAGACTGCTAGCATCCTAGAATGAATAGAGACAAAGTGAATGTACCAAAGTACACTCATCACTGTATTTTTCACAGCTATCAAATGGCACTTAAAAGTTTTACTTACTATCCTTGTGAACCAGTAAAAAGTACTAATTTTCCTAAATCTTGATCCTTGGATACATGTCCCATTAATACTCTGTGATAAAAGGGAAAAATGAAACCCTAGACCACACAGAGTATGATGGCTGTCTTGAGGATAGCACTGGTATGACTATTTGAGTGACAAAGTGAGAGGGACACTCACTTTTTCAAGGGACTTCATTTTTACTAGAAAATATGTCTGAAAGAAGAACTATGGTTAGTCAAATGAGTATTTGGCAGATTCTCTCCAAAAATCTAATTTCTTTACTTCAAGGAAAACAACATTACTTGTTGCCAGTAATAAAGTCTGATCTTTCAAGCAAAATCTTGTAAAATTCTAGAAAAACTGTTTTGATCCTCTGAGTCAGCTAGCTTCCCAATACAGTAAACCCTCAAGTTATGACGGGCCTGATTTATGAACAACTTGGGTTAGTTAGGTTAATGGAAGATTCATCTGGCTCTTGTTACCTATAACAAGTAGCCAGGTAAACATCCAGATCTCAGCTGTACTGACTTACAACCAGCCCTCGGGAACCTATCAAGTTCGTAAGTCAAGGGTTCACTGTAATCAAAGAATTTTCTAATGAAATAAGCAGTGATATTAATTAATATAATTTAAAAGATTGTCAATAAAAGAATGTGTCAGCATTTGAAAGAGCTACTTATACATGACTCAGTAAACCAAGTTTTTAAATGGACAATGAACGCAAGATGTTTCAAAATTACACATGGTAAAGGAGCCACTCAAAGTGCAAGATAGAACCAGTGGATTTTAATGTAGAAAAGTACAAAAAGTTCATTGGTAGGATTTCAGAATCCACATGTAACTAACTCACAATTTTTTAGTTTTGGTGTAATATCAAAGAAAAACATCCATAATTATCTGAAAAAGTTATAAAATACTGTTCTTTTTGCCTATGACACATCTGTGTGAGGTTAAGATTATCTACATTGGGCTGGGGATTTAGCTCAGTGGTTCTGCCGCCTGCTTCGCAAGCACAAGGTCCCGAGTTCGATCCCTGGTACCAAAAAAAAAAAGATTATCTACATACACTTCAATCAAAACAAGAAGTCATACCAGACTGAATACAGAAGGAGATTTGAGAATCCAGCATCTTCATTTAAGCTAGACATTAAAGAGACTTACAAAAATGTAAAATCATTAATTTTTTGAGAAAAGTTTTTCATAAAGATATAATTGATGATATAATAGATTACAGGTATAACATATAAACACTATAAAAAAGGCTTTTTAGAATCCTCAAATTTTAAAGGTAAAAAGGGTGCTGGCACAACTGAGTGTGGTGGTGCATGCCTGTAATCCCAGCACTCAGGAGGCTGAGGAAGGAGGATCACCATGAGATCAAGGCCAGCCTGAACTACAGAGCAAGATCCTGTCTCTAAAAAATAAAACAACAAAACAAAAAGCATGCTGGCACTACAACACCTGAGAATTGTTGCTTAAGAGCACTGCTACTCTGAAAGTGTGACCTGAAGAACAAGCCAGACTGTGACAAAGTAAGTACAGGCATTTAGATGATGCATACAGAACTATGAAAGTGATCTGACACTGAGGTCCTATACTATATGGGAGGTAGGGGCTTAAATAATCAAATTTTGTTGTATTGGTCCATGGCAGACTAAAAATGTGTGTGTGTTATGGGAGGACTGAATCCATGGCCTTCACACTGATTATTACATCCCCAGCCCTTTAAAAAATTTTTTATTTTGAGACAAGGTCTCACTAATTCATTTCAATTGCCCAGGCTGGGCTTGACCTTGTGATCCTCTTGCCTCAGCTTTCCAGAGTGCTGGGATTACAGGTGTGTGCCACCACACCCACAGTGGATTGGAAACTTTTTTTTTCTTTCAGTTTCTTAAATGCTAGTCTCCCTATGTAGCCCAGGCTGGCCATGGAACTTGCTGCAGTCCTCATACCTCAGCCTCCCTAGTGCTGGGATTACAGGCATGCACCACCATGCCTGGCTTGGAAACTTTCAAAAATTAGCAAAAACTAGTCTTTTAATAAAGATAGTTTGAAGAACACTGCTCTAGAGAAAAAGTATTAGATCAATAGAGAAAAGTAGGAACTAGTCTTCTCAGGCAATCTACAATAATACAGGTAGGGAAAGAAATAGCAAAAAAGTGGATCCTGACTAGAAAAATGATGAGTATAAGCTTAAATTGAGCCACTTTCGTCATCTGAAATTTCATTGTATCTTAGATGAGACATATGTTAATATTATTAGGAATTAATGGGAGATTGCTAGGGGATTATTTTGAGACCAGATTAAAATTTCATAAGTAAAACAGGTCATGAGAGGAGAGTGAACTCAGATTTCTGTATCACCTAATCTGAGAAGGAAGACCCAAGTACAAATCTAATTATAATTAATCAGAGAAGCTTTATAAAAAATTTAAGCACTTCAGGGAGAAAAACAAGAAGGTAACCTAAACTACTAGTGAGTTTGGAGGACAGGGTACCTGGTAGGTTCATAGGAAAGCACCTAGGACATAATCTCTTACCAAAGATCAGTTATTCAGAAGCAGACAATCCTAGGGGACTTTAAAGTTAAAAACACAAAAACCTGAAATTCGTAGGGAATACGTCATTTTCAGCTGTATATTCAACTTCTTCATTAAATTACTCATTTGAAAGGAAGCAAATGAAGCACTTTGCCTAACTTGCTAGCACTTTGTTTCTCACTGACTTGAAAACAATACTAAGAGGGAAATAAAAACATAAAGACAAAAAAAAAAAAAATCAGAATCAAGCACATATGTCTCAAAATAATGGCCTAAAATTTTTTTTTTTAAACTGATCTTGTTCTTTGGTAATGAGCCAATTGACCTATTTATTTATTTATTTATTTGGTACCGGGGATTGAATTCAGGTCTTGTGCTTGCAAGGCAGGCAGTGGAACCAGAGCCAAATCCCTGGCCCAGGCCTAAATTATACAGAAAAATGTAAAGGAAGGGCCGGGGATGTAGCTCAGCAGTGACGAACTTGCCTGGCAAGTGCAAGATCTTGTGCTAGATTCCCGGTACCACAAAAAAAAGACAAAAAAATGTAAAGGAAATATTCTTATATAAAAAAAAAATTCAAAAATATTCAGGGTTTTGGGGTTTTTTCCCAGTATTTTGAGACAAGGTCTTGTTATGTAGTTCAGGCTGGCCCTGAACTCACTATGTAGCCCAGGCTGGTCTCAAACTTGCAGACATCCAGGAGCCTCAGCCTTCCCAGTGCTAAGATTACAGGCATGGGCCACCTGGCAAAACCATTTAGTTTTAAACTTAAAAACAGGGTTAAAAGTAAAAATAGGTATTATGGGATACTTACTACTTAAGACTCTCAATAAAAATCTTTACATATCTATTAATTATAATACTCACAGAGAAAAGGAGTTAACCCCAAATTTTTTAATCATTACATATTTGAAGGATGAGAATATGGGCACCTTTTGCTTTTTGTCAAGCTTTATTTTTCCCCTAATAAACATATGATATTTTTTAAAGCAAAAAAAGAGCCAGGCATGGTGGTGCACATCTGCAATTCTGACACAGAAAGACTGAAAACAAAAAGAGTATTTTAAATTTTTATCAAAATACGTATTTCTTAACCTAAATTCTCATATTTCCAGTAATGATTTTTTTTTCTGGTACTGGGGATCGAACTCAGGACCTTTCGGTTGCAAGGCAGGTGCAGTGCCACTGAGCTAAATCCCTGGCCTGTGATTTTTTTTTTTTAATTAGTTTTTCCAGCACTAAAGTAGGAGAATGCCCGGGGGGGGGGGGGGTCCCAGACAAGATTAATACAACTAAATTTAAATACTTCCTTTAAAATACAGATAAGGCATAGATTGTGCTTTCATTTGTATCTCACAAAAAAGCTAAAATTAGCAGGTTTTCATAAAGTAATTAAATGTGAAATCCTTATTTAATCTCAAAAGAATGCTTTCCTGAGAGGAGAGAACTGAAGAGCCCTTACATGATGCAATTACCCTGAGAGCTAGGAGGCTCAGCTGTGGACAAAAATTGTTTCATTTAAGAACTGGGCTCCTAGCCGGGGATTTAGCTCAGTGGTTTCACCGCCTGCTGCGCAAGCACAAGGACCCAAGTTCAATCCCTGATACCAAGAAAAAAAAGGAACTGGCCTCCTTGGAGAGTCCTGTCCTTTCCCACTTGTAGAACCATGGATTATTGAAGCCACAAGGTACTGCAGAGACCAGTCCAACACCCATCTTACACAGGGGCAGGACAAGGACTGCCTCCCCTAGTCTCTGTAAATCATGCCTGGATAAATTAAATTGCTTCACTTCTAACATCTAGGTAGTGTTTGAGAGCAGGGGTTATGGAATAAGATCTCTTTGAGACTCTACTTATCTGAAACATGATATAACACTCCCCACTTCATGGTGGTGCTGCTATGAGGATCGCACAATAAGAGAACTGCTTAATACAGTACTTTGCAGAACAGTGCACACTCAATAATGTTAGTTTTTCACATCTGCCCCATTGATGCTTCGACTCTTTCAACCTTCACTCAGCACATGATACTGACTAGATGAAAGACCATCAAGCCATACTGCCTGCTATACCTGAGCAGACTCCTAGCTATGCAGCCGAAGTATCACAGACAGGCTGATCCCCTCACAGATTTGACTCACCAGACCTAAGGTGACACTCTTCCCCAAAATAGCAAACAAGTTTAAGGTGAGAGAAAAAGAACAGGTGCAAATTTGTCGTAATGAGGAAGTCAATACACAACAAGAATGAGTTTATAAAGCAAAAAATATCCAGAAAATAAGTTCAAAGCTCAAACTTCTAGGCTGAAGTGGAGCTCAGTGGCCAAGTGGTTGCTTAGCATGTGTGACAACCTGGGTTCAATTCCCAAACTGTGCAGGTGCATGCATGTGCGTGCTTATGCACGTGCACACACACATACACACAAGAGAAAAAAGTTTGAATACATCTTTTCTTAACTTTTAACATTCCTAAGGTAAGATCCTATGTTATATCTAACTAGATTTAAGCTATACTTCTGTCATTTCAAATATATAGGGATGCCACAGGAAATTTAGATTTAAAAATGGAGTGGATGAAGAAGAACTATCCTGTAAAATTGATTAGAATGAAAAGTACTCATCTAGATTTAAAAAAAAAATTACTATCCACAGGAATCAGTGATGAAATTAAAGAAGGTTGGCCCATATTAAGCTCATATAAGACATTATGTATTCAACAGGTTTTTTTTTTTTTAGGAAACATGAAAGTCAGTCAGGTAAGTGTTTTAAGAAAGGAACTGTGGAGCCAGGAGACTGGCTCGAGGCTAAGCACTGACCTGGTGTTCCGGTTTACATCCAGATATCCCCTCAGAACTCCGTATGTTCTTAGTGGTGCTTTGGGAGGTGATTAGATCTGTTTATAGCTATATGTAATGTTGGAGAGGTGAAGCCAGGTCAGAGGAAGTGGATCTCTGGAGTATGGCCTAAAGAGTCTCTCTCCCTCCCTCCCCCTTGACTGTTCTCTGCTTCCTGCTGCCATGCCACAAGCAAGCCCCCTCTGCCATGCCACCCTGCTGTGGAGCCTTGAGCTGAGCATGGACTGAAACCTCTACAAACTGTGAGCCAAAATAAACGTTTCCTCCTTAGAGTTGTGGTTGTCAAGTATTGTCTCAGCAATGAGAAAGTAACCAAGACACTTGGAATACATGAAGGACTAAGTTTGATGGCTACAAAACACAACACACACACACACACACAAAGGAGGAAGAAAGAAATTGTAACCAAATGCAAAGTATTATAAGGGCACACAAGGACTACATCAATTGTAGGGGCTCTCTATCAAGTAAGATGACCAAAATTATTTCAGTAGTTATTAAAATGGATATAGATATGTATATTTTTGTGTGAGATTATATATTATTCATGGGGAGGTACTGGGAGTTGAAACCAAGACCTCTGCACTAAGCTACATTCCTAGCCCTTTTTTATTTTGAGACAGGATTTTACTAAGTCACTAAGTTGCCCAGGCTGAGCTGGAACTTGCGATCCTCCTGCTCAGCCACCCAGAGTGCTTAGACTTACAGGCATTTGCAAGCACACCTGGCTTATTCTTACATTTACATATAACACTTAAAGTTTTCTTTATTGCCAATTTTTTTACTTAATGTCCATTTATGCCTTTTCTTACCTCTTGTGTTAATTTTGGTATGAACCTCGAGCTGGGGATCACTTGAAACCATACAAGGCCACCAGGGATAGGTTCCCACCTTGGACCAAACAAGATCGCCAACCTGGAACTTAACACCAGTAGTTACTTCTGTGGTTGGGGCAGAGGACAGTATTGGCTGAACCTACAGGAAAAGTTCACAAAAACTCCATCAGAAGTGAATTAAAACAAATGAACAATCAAACAAACTGTGCACTACTTACACTAAAAATGTTAACAATGTAAAATTTATCTTAATTATACTTTTCTTTGATATCTGTTATCTATAACTATTAAGAGGGAAAAAAAGAGGAAACAAAATAAGCCCTATCCCAAATACTGTACTGAAAACAGGACTGATGTTGCTAAATTAATAAGGCATCTTGAAATTCTAATGATCAATAAAAATATAGTTCTTCAAAGGAAAATAATTCACTGAAAATATCTACTTTAAATTTTTTTTTTAAATTTTTTAGACAGGATCTCAATGTGTAGTTCTTGCAGTAATCCTCCTGTCTCGGCCTCCCAAGTGCTGGGATTACGGGCGTGCACAACCACACCCAGCTGAAAATATCTACTTCTTAAAACCAGTTCCAAGATTTATTTCAGTGTGATTTCTAAAATAGGGATGTATAGAGCAAGGGCCTGCTGCGCAAGCGCAAGGACCAGAGTGAGTTCAATCCCTGGTACCAAAAAAAAAGGTGTATGGAGCTATAATAAAATCACTTTGCTTTTGCCTTCCTCTCAACATCACATCTAGTCAGATAGTACTCAACAAAGCAACTCACCGGGATGGCGTCTTTGAGCACTGGCTCTTCTCTTGGCTTTTCTGGTGTGGAGTCCACCCTCTCATTTGGTCTCTAGGTGAAAAGGGGGGGAACAGAATAAAGTGGCAGCAAACCAAGAAACAGTGACATTAAAAAATTAAAGAAAACAAAACATCAAAAAGAATGGGGCCGGGGATTTAGCTCAGTGGTTCCGGCACCTGCCTCGAAAGCATAAGGTCCCGAGTTTGATCCCCAGTACCAAAAAAAAAAAAACCAGAAAAGAATAAAAGACACTTATTAACTGAACAATGTAACGAGTAAGAATATACCTCCCACTACTTACTTGATTACTTTCAAAAGTAAATCTTTTTTTTACACTGTGTCGCTGAGGTACATTCCCAGCCCACCAAACTAAATTTCTAATTAAACTGTATTTTTGGTTTTGTTTGTTTGTTTTTTGGTAGTGGGGATTGAACTCGGGACCTTGTGCTTGCAAGGCAGGCACAAGAACCACTGAGCTAAATCCCCAGCCCTAAACTGTATTTTTAACTGCTCAGAAAAAAAAGGTGGGGGGGTGCTCAAATTGTTCATAAGATATAACCTAGAACTTTTCTGGAGAACAACTTGGCAACATGTATGAAAAGCCTCAAGTTTTCAGGCTCTGACCCAGAAAATTTACTTCTAAACATGTGTACTGAAAATATTTTGAGAAGTAATCTATCTTTCTGCCTATAAAATTTGGAAGTACTATCAGTACTCAAAACATGTATACTCCTCAATTTAGCAACTAATTTCAGAAACACCCTACAGAAGCACAAAAAATAACAAAAACTAGCCAGAGATAATAACTACAGCATTAATTTGTGTTGATAATCTATATATCTCAATTTTTTTACCTTAAAAGTCTGTATATGTATTAAAAATATTTGGTACTATATATAGACCAACTTGGTAACAGTAATTATCTTTTGAGAGTAGAATTAGGGAAATGGTGAAGAAAGATCTTCTACACTGTTGTATTATCTTCATCTTCTGTAAAAGATAAATTATTTCTATAATTTAAAAGATTTAAAACATTTCCTACTTGTCAGAGAGCAGAATTCAAATGGTTTTAAAAGAGGGTAATATCAGGTAATATCACCAGGCATAGTGCTGCATGCTATAATCTCAGTACTTGGGCGGCTGAGGTTAGGAAGATTACCACAAGTTTGAAGCCAGCCTGTACTACATTGTGAGTTCAAGACCAGCCTAAACTACATAGTGAGGCGCTGAATCAAAAAGAAAGAAAGAAACAAACAGAAAACAAAGGTGTGGTGGCCCACTACTGTGATCCTAGCATTTGGAAGGCTGAGACATAGGATTGCCATGAGTTTGAGGTTAGGCTGGGCTTCATAGTGAGTTCACTACCAGCCTTATAGAATAAGACCCTGTCTCAAAAAACCAAAACCAAGAGCCAGGTGTGGTGGCACACACCTGTGATCCCAGCACTCGGGAGGCTAGGCTGAGGCAGAAGGATCACCGCGAGTTCGAGGCCAGCCTGGGTGACATAGTAAGTTCAGAGCCAGCCTGAACTACAAAGAGAGGCCCTGCCTCAAAAAAACAAAACAAAACAAAAAACAAATAAATAAAATAAAAACCAAGACCCAAAACAAAAAGCAAAAACCAAAGGGTATACAGGGGTACAACCAAATCAAATTTCCCCCTCAAAGGTCAAAACTGAACCTAACCATTGAACTTGATTTGGTTCTCATTCAATTTGGTTGCAACCAGAATCATGGAAAGAATTAAGTTCGTGAACTAAGGTACCATTGTATAAATTAAATTAGGTCTTAAACTGGGTGCAGTGGTACACGCCTGTAATCCTTACACTTGGAAGGCCGAAGCAGGAAGATCGCTGCAAGTTCAAGCCCAGCTTGGGCTACAGAGTGAGTTCAAGTCGGTCTGAACTACATGGTGAAACCCTCTCAAAAAACAAAAAACACTCTCAATCCCCCAAGTTGAATGTAATCACTATGTATGTCGCAAACATATGTTAATAAAAAATTTAAAAAAAAAATTAAACAAAAACAAAAAAAACAAAAAACAAACAAAAAATTAGGTCTTAATTCTCCTGGAAGAATGTAGATAACTGTCAAAGCTACTTAAAATTCTCATTCCATTATTTCATGAGATTTAGAAACTGTTATAAAAAGTTTTATTAGGGGGCTGGGTAGATTTAGCTCAGTGGTTCCAGCGCCTGCCTCGCAAGCACAAGGTCCTGAGTTCGATCCCCAGTACCAAAAAAAAAAAAAAAAGTTTTCTTAGGGAAAAGATAGTATTGTACAGTTTTTAACTGTTAGGAAAATGATATATATGTGAGACAGACTAACATCTCAAGCGCTAAGTCTCAGTAGTCACTCCATAGTGACTCCCTGTCTATAGCAGTCACTCCATGTCCCGGCACAGCTCAAGGAACCGGGTCTCTAACAGAGAAACAAACAGATGTAGCAGTGGTCCCTAACCCAAAGGACCTTACAGATATGTATACCAAACAAACAGAGACAGAAGCATCCACTTACTAATCAAGAGCTCTATGAAGAGAGAACGGTTTATGTGTAGTTTTAGATACGAAGGGCAGGAAAAGAATCTCTAACAAAATAGGTCATAATCTGAGAACCAAAGAGGAGTTACATGAGTAAAAGGGAATGGATGGTACAGGAAGAGAGAGTAAGATGCCTGAGGTACCTGGGTTTAAAAGGCAGAAACTTTAAGGTCACAACTACTGACCTAACTGCCCAAGGAAGAGCAAGATTACAAGAAGAGGGCTGAGAACAGGCTAGATCATGAGGCTGTAAACCACACCACAGTAAAGTGTTTGGATTTTATCTTAAGTGCAATGAAAAGTCACTGAAGAGGTCTAGGTAGACAAGCAACAAGCATCAATTTTATGTTTAAAAAGATCCTGTTGGCTGTGAGGTGGAAAATATTTTGGAAGGGAGCAAGAGGGAGAGCAGAATGTTTAATTAGGGGGTCACTAATATAATCTAGGTAAAATAAGTGATAGCTTGTTTATTAGCTTTCTTGGATGCTTCTGTAGCAGTACTATGATGAGCATCTAGTAAGACACCTTTATTATCCAGATTTTTGGGGGGGGGGGTACTGGAGATTGACGCTTGTGAGGCAGGTGCCGGAACCACTGAGCTAAATCCCTGGCCCTAGGACACCTTTATTAAAGAAAAAAAAAAAAAGCTATGTTCAAATTTAAAAACTGGATTTCTGATCACTAGTGTAATAAAGTGATTTAGAACTACTGCCCATGTCTGTGCAGCCCACTCAAAAGCTTCGCTTCAATTCCAGACCCAGCTAAGCGCTCACCTTAGCTCCTTACCCCAGTCGAACTGCAGCAGGGCAGTGGGGTAACTTGGGGAGGATACCACAGGCTAGGAGTGAGTCACTCTCCCCCACACCTATCTGCATGGCGTTAAGGGAAGGGACCTCTAGATTTTTTTCTGAAGGCAGATAAGGAGTAATTTTTGCCATACAATACAAGCCTACTATTGTTTTGTTTTTCCTTTGGCAGGGAGTAAGGGAAGGTACTGGAAATTGAACCCAGAGTCTCTGCACTGAGCTACATCTCCAGCCTTTTTATTTTATTCTACTATAGTTTTTTGAGACAGGGTCTAAGTTGTCCACGTTGACTTCCAACTTGTGATCCTCCTGCCTTACCCTTGCAAGTAGCTGAACTACAGGTATGTACCACTGTAGCCAGCAGTAAGATTTCTTAAACACACAAAAAAAATTATGTTAAGAGGTCAACTAAAATAAATTATATTATTCTAAATATTCCTTTAAAATTTTTCTCTCTAGTTGTTATTAAAACCTAAAAACTTCACTAAGATTAACAGCATGCATTATATCTGGCAGAATTTCAAGCTTTTAATAATACAAGTATTACCTAAATAAATTTCAAAAACATTAAGCAAAATTATATTTCCTAGTAGATTAAAAAACTGTCAACATTCAGGTTGGAAAAAAATACAAAGGCACTTGAAAGGCATAAAAACATTTCATTTTTCTTTTATTTTCTGAATAACAAAGTCCATAATGTTAAAAAGCAAAGAATTGTGTACAGAAAAAAGTTTACACATGAACATTCTCTAAAAACTGAGGCCTAATCCTGAGAACTAAACTTCTGACTCAGTGTTACTGAGACGGATCTAGCCACCAGCTCTCAGGAAGTGGGCACAAGCTAAGAGTTAACGGGTGGCGGTGGTGGATAAGCCCACTCAAGTGCTAGGGGAAAGTGGTGATGTTTGACCAAGGCCTCCACTCACATGCCTCAGGCATTACGCCAGCCAAGGAGGAAGACTGAAGAAACCTTTTCACATGTTTCTAATTTGGTGGGAGGAAAAACAGCTAAAGCAGATTTCTAAAATACACAATTTCAGTGGTGACTTCTCGTCTCCTGCTGCCTAGATGTTTGAACACATTTTCACTGTTGAGAAGATACACTTGTTCTAAATATCAGCCATTCTTCAGAAGGCCAAAGAGCTCAGAAGGAGTACTGAGAAAAAAAAAGTTGTGGGTAAAATCGTGAAGTGAATAGTGAATAGATAAAATTTTGTTTGCTCAAAAAAGAATACAAAAAAGGGAAACAGGGTAGGAAGGAGGTGGAAACAACTTCTAACTTTTTTTCCAGGGGTTCAGTTCTGCACTTCCCTGAGGTCTCTAGAGGAGGGGAGCTGTCCAGAAGCATCAGTAGACCCCACTCTGGGCTTCCCCTCACCGCCAGGTCCTCTACAATGCTAATCATGAAGGGCTGGCACCTAGGGACAACCAGGAGGCAGTGAGAAAGTATCAAAAATTAAGACACTTGGGGCGGGGATTTAGCTCAGTGGTTTCACTGCCTGCTGCGCAAGCGCAAGGACCTGAGTTTGATCCCCGGTACCAAAAAAACAAACAAAAAAATTAAAACACTTAAAACAACTGTACTGAGGGAGCACAATAGATGTTGTTCAAGTTAAGAAAATGTAATTTAAAAACACATAAAGTTACAAAGCAAACTCATTTGGGCATAGCTCTAGTTACTGCTTAGCTTAGCAAAAGCACTACACAGGATAAGCAAGACCCTTGGCAGCTCTGGCCTTAAAGTTTCATTATGGCACCTATTTAAGCTTACGACTGCCTTCATGTGATAAAATTTTAATTCATCAAAATTCAAATAACCAGACTTAGCTCTTCACTTTACTTTTTTTGAATGAAGGGAGGTGGGAAGGACAGAAGAGAGAAGAGGAAGAAAGCAGAGGATGGAAAGAAGGTAGGAAGGAGAGGGAGAGGGAGAGGGAGAGGGAAAAAAACCCCTGGATTTCCCCTAAAAACCAACTTTCAGGCAATGGTATCAGTTAATATTGAGTGCAATCAATGCCATATTCTACATGTATACTTTTTTTTTTTTGGTACCGGAGATTGAACTCAGCTCCTTGCACTTGCGCAGCAGGCAGCAAAACCACTGAGCTAAATCCCTGGCCCTCTACATGTATACTTTTTGATCAAAACTGATGTTTCTTTACCCTAAGATTTTTTTTTTTTCTTTTTTGGTACCGGGGGTCGAACTCAGGACCCTGCACTTAGGAGGCAGGCATGGGAACCACAGAGCTAAATCCCCAGCCCTACCCTAAGATATTTTAAGATCCTAAGTAATCAAATATTAAATTATACTGAGCAGATTCACTTTAAAAAACCCAAAACTCTTACATTACATATAAATACACAAATCCTGGGATATGACAGTTAACTGAAGGTTTAAGTGGTATAAAGAGACAGGCATATTGGGCTGGGGATTTAGCTCAGTGGTTCCGCCGCCTGCCTCGCAAGCACAAGGTTCTGAGTTCGATCTCTAGTACCAAAAAAAACAAACAAAGAGACAGGCATAGCAAATATCCAACAAACACAGACTGGTTTTAGAATCTAACTGTAAAGTGACTAGTAGAAACATCACTGCATTAGGGATGGGGATGTAGCTCAGTGGTGCCGTGGCTGCCTGGCGAGCTCAAGCTACTGAGTTAGATTCCAGTACTGCAAAAAAAAAAAAAAAGAAAAGAAAAAAACCCCAAAACATCACTGCATTGAATTTTTCCTAGATTCTGATAAAGCACAAGGACATGAAAAATACATTCTTTTATCTTGACACTTAATAGCTTCTAGTATCTATTTTGAGGTATATATTAAACTTTATTAATAAAGGCAAAAAGCCTAGTCTAATAAGTAAAATCTGAATACTCTATTTGCCAGATTCTCTGTAGCAAAACCAAGACAGGCCAGCAACATAGTTCTCAAGCACTAATAAACTGAAGCAAATTCAGGTTTTAGGCATGTTTGTGATTCCCCAAAGCCAATATATATCACATGTCTTTTCACTACAGGTCTAGGTAAGAATGCTGCTGCAAATGTGACTGAAGTTCATGCAGCTAATTTCTCTCTCCACTTACTCATTTAATCAACAGTCAATAAATGTCACTGTGGGCTTGGTTTGGGGAGGGGGCTGACAAACGAAGTGTAAGAACCCAAGAGGCATGCATTTCAGCGATAGTTTCATTCTAAAGCCTTCTTCTTACTTATGCAGAACTAAGACATCAGAATAGCTAAGGCATTCTCATTACGCACTTTCATTTTCTTCATAGCTTTGATGCTATCTGAACTTATGTACCTATCTCTGATGCTCTCCCCTCTGGAATCTGAGTACCCTGAGAGCAGCAACTTTGCTTTTCAATCACTGCAACACCTCTATTCTTAGAACAGTGACTAGCTCAGAGTAGGCATCCAATCAATATGCACTAAATGAGTAAGAAAATGATAGAACAATGAGAAAACATGTTGAAATGCCACACTTGAACCTATGAAAGCCTAGAACCATCGTGATCTTTACTCCAGAAAAAAACACACTGGAGTTGCACGAAGTAATGGAACCAAGGGAAAGATGAGTTAGTAAGAGGTAAACATTTGAACACAAAACAATAAATTAACTTATTCAACATTTAGCTAGTAAAAGCAGGTAATTATCATCTAAATAAACATGTATCATTTTCTTCCCAAATCAATGTCTAAGAAACATCTGCAATTCATATCATGAAAACTGCATTCAAGTTAGAATTGATAGGTCACATAATAACTATTATTATTATATTATTGCTATGCAACTTGACTTTGAAACTCAGATACGGTATTTTAAAAAATCAGCCCCAGGGGCTGGGGATTTAGCTCAGTGGTTCCCGCACCTGCCTCGAAAGTGCAAAGACCCGAGTTTGAGCCCTGGTACAAAAAAAAAAAAAATCAGCCCCATACATCTTAAATTATCTATGAAGGATGACTTTTATAAAACACCACTTGAAGTTTTAATCACTACATATGATAACTGATTTTAATAAAAAGGGTTCTTTTACATCAGTTTATTATGTAGCAAACACATTAGCAATGAGTGTTAAATCTAAGCTCTACCAGCAAAAGTTGGTCTAAAATAAATGAAAACCCTGTTTCTGTGCCTTTCCTCTTCATCTTCAAAAACCAGTTTATTATTAGCATGTAAAAATAACCAAGGGTCTTAAAACAAAGAAACATAAACAAGACTCTTGGTGTTACATGATTTTAAAATAGTTCTTCACTTTAATGATGCCCATTCATTTATTCAACAAATATTTACTCAGCCCTTATAATATTCCAAGCACCTTTCTAGTAATTAGAAGTTACCAGAAATATTCATATATGAAGTGATAAATGCTAAGAAAGATCTCCTTGATTTCCATTAAATGAGAAAGATTACAAAATTTTTCAAAAAGGTATTTTCAACTTACATTTTGCTCCTCTGATTCTAATTTGGGGATTTTGTGTGACTTGCGCTCTTCAGATCTAGATGAGTCATGCTTGTTGCTTTTTTTCCTTTTTTCTTTTCTGCTTTCATGCTTTGACTTTATGTGTTCAGTTGCCTGTACTTCATTTAAAAGGTCTCCACAAAGGGAAGACTCGAACAATTCCCTGCCATTCTGGATAGTTTTGGTTATTTTTAGTTTAATTTCAGGTGAGCCAGTCTTCTTTGGAATCACAGTTTGTGGTACCGAAAGAGGAGGTGGTGGCTGCGGAGGGGAAGGTTTTTCTAGAATTTCATGTGGTCTTGTATTTGGAATTTCTGAATGGTAATAGTCAGTGGGGCTAAAGTTTCTAACTGCACCAAAGCCATTGGCTGACCCATTGGGATACTGATTATATGACTGGTATTTGGTTTGAGTTTCATACATGCTGATTGATGGTGGGTAGCCATTTGTAAGTGGAGGAAGGTCTTCTGTTGTAGGTGGGTACTGAAAGCCTTGCTGCAAGGTAGCTTCATACGGTGTCTGGCCACCATCTTCAACAATGTCACTGCTGTTATCAAAGGCATCCTCCTGACGGATGTTGGCGGAGTCAATGAGTTGAGGTGGTTGCTGAATTGTGTTTCCCATGATCCCTTGCATGAAAGAGAAAGAGAAATCCATTGTTCTGCTCCAGCATCCTTAACTGTCCCTTTCTCTCATCGGGCCTAAAATAAGAAAAGAAGGAATTATAATATTATTAGCATATGATTAGCCTCATATGCTAGAGGCTAATCAATTGAAAAAGGATTAAATTAGAATGTTTTGAACTTAATTTTCATATCAGATATGCATACATTAAATATTTCTAAAACCAGATAGCCAACATAAAATACAACACAAATATATTTTATCTTAAATGGTTATCGGTTAAATTCCTGATTATTTTTTATAACAATTTTGGCAACAAAATTTTATCCTCTTTGCAAACATGCTAAACAATTTTGACATTCCTTTGTTTCCCAGTTTACAGATTATTAAGATTAAAATTGTAAGGGCCAGGGATGAAGCTCAGTGATGCTGCACCTGCCTGGCAAGTGCGAGGTCCTGAGTTTGATCTCTGGTACTGCAAAAAAACTTTTTTTTAAATTAAAATAAGCTGCATCCTGACACATACAGATTAGTTTCCATATGTACTTTGTTTAAAATCATTCACATTTTGTGCAGTGGTTCTTTTTATTTAAAAATAAAATCTTATTTCAAATATTTTAAACACAAAAGTAAAGTGCCTATCCTTTCCATCATTCCTATTCTGGAGATCATTTTGTACTGCCTTTGACTCATGCCAGAAACTTTTTTTTTTTTTGGTGCCAGGGATCGAACTCGGGACCTTGCGCTTACAAGGCAGGCAGTGGAACCACTGAGCTAAATCCCTGGCCCTCCATCATTCCCATTCTTCTATGTCACAGACAACAACTATAAACACTCTGGTGGGTACTCATCTACATCTTTCTCTAAATGATTACTTATACATTTTTAAAATAGGGCTTATTCTGATTTGTTTCACTTAATAATATTTCCTAGATGTATTTCTATATCAGCATATATAATTTTTATACATACTTCATTCTTTACATGGTTAAAAAGTAAACATGTCACTGTAATGCACTTAATCATTTCTACAGTGATAGCCAACTAGCTGCTTACATCTTTTTAATATTATGAACAGGTGTACAGAAAACACTCTTAGCTGGGCATGGTGGCACACATCTGTAATCCTAGCACTCTGGAGGCTGAGGCAGGAAGATCACCATAAGTTCGAGGCCAGTCTGGACTATATAGCAAGACCCCATTTCAAACAAACAAACAAACAAACAGAAAACACAGCCAGGCATGGTGGCGCATACCTGTAATCCCACCACTTGGGAGGCTGAAATAGGACTGCTGCAAGTTCAAGACCAGCCGGGGCTACACAGTAAGTCAAGGCCAGCCTGAACTACACAGCAAGACCCTGTCTCAAAAACTAAATCTATTCTACCACCTGCTTCGCAAGTGCAAGGTCCCAAGTTCGATCCCCGGTACAAAAAAACCCCAACTAAATATATAAACAAAATTAAAAAACCAGAAAACACTTGGCCTCATTACTAACTACCCAAACTCCACTCTTGAGTGCATCCTGTATCTACCTCTAATAAGTTTTTCTCATGTCTTTAAAAAAAAAGAAAAAATATTCTTGAAACTGTATTTATATTTTGTGCATACATGTATTCCTATAAAATATTTGAAATTCTGATAGATACTGCAAAGCTGTTCTATTAGCTGGGCTTTTTATTTTGAGACAGGATCTCATTAAATCACTAAGCTGCCAAGGCTGGGCTCAAACTTGTGATCCTCCTGCCTTGACTTCCTAGAGAGCTGTGAATAAAGGCACGCGCCACCATGCCCAGCTTATTAGCTGTCATCTTTTTTTTTTTTATTAGCTGTAATCTTATCAAGTTACACTCACAGTGAGGGAGGATGCCTAATTCTCTGTACTCTTACCAGTTTCCAGGTGCCCACTCATTTTACCAGGGATTGAACACAGGGAGCATTTGGCTACACCCCAGCCCTTTTTATTTTATTTTTGAGACAGGACACCTCACAAGTAGCTGAGATTACAGACATGGATCACCAAGCCTGGCCTCTAGTTGTTTGGAACAAGTGGCATACAGAGGAGAATCATGTGGGGTACTTTTACAAAATACAAATGTCACAGTCTATTCCCTGAAGATTCTCTAAGTTTTTTGTTTTCTGCTTTTTTTTTTTTGGTACCGGGAATCGAACTCGGGACCTTGCGCTTGCGAGGCAGGTGTGGGAACCACTGAGCTAAATCCCTGGCCCTTTTTTTTTTTGGTACTGGGGAGCAAACTTGGGACCTTATGCTTGCAAGGCAGGCGGTGGAACCACTGAGCTAAATCCCTGGCCTCTGTTTTAAAATGGAAATCTTACAAGTACCCGATTGCTGGTATATATACTGTAATATGCATTGACAACTGCTGTATCACAAATTAGCTGTATTACAATTTTTATATCTTTTTAATGTTTTCCTTAAGGAACTGTAATGATGACATCTGGCCAGCTAAATCAACACCTTTTCTCTGGACTATTGTAATCAAAGACCCCCTGAGGAGCAGTACAAGCCACTGATGGGACAGTTGGGAGATAGGGGGGACAATCAAATTTGTATCAGAGCTGCCCAACAGCGAGACTAACACTTGCCAGAGAGGTACAGTATTGGGATTCTTGGTTCACAGGTGAAACAGAGGAAGCTTCTGGCTGGCCTCCATAAATAGTAGAGCAAAGGGACAGAACTAGACTTTGAATTGAAACCTGTCTGACTCTAAAACCTATGATTTTTACTATTCCATTTTCATTTCTCAAGCTACAAGTTTCTCAAGGATTCCTTTCTTTTGTTCAAGTGCTTTATTCCTCAGCAACTGCCAAAATTAACAACTATCCTAATAGCCACCATTAGCATTTAAATGGTATTTTGCAAATGCTGTACATCATTCTAAGCAGTCTACAAAGTTCTACAAGTAATCTCCCCAACAACTTCCAGGTACATATTATCTGCCATTACAGATGAAGAAACATAGGCAGACAGAAGTTAAAGAAGTAAACATGGCTAGTAAGTGACAGAACTGGGCTTCAAGCCAGTAGTCTAATTCTAGGAGTTTGATTCATATTCTACTGATCAGCAATGACAATCAATGTTAGAAATAATTTCTTTGTAATATATCTTAAGAATTGAAGGGCCAGGGATTTAGCTCAGTGGTGCCGCTGCCTGCCTCGCAAGCACAAGGTCCTGAGTTCGATCCCTGGTACCAAAAAAAAAAAAAAAAAAAGAACTGAAACATTAATTTGGCCCTTTGAAGAAATGTGTAACTCACAGCAACAGAATATAAGATGTGAATGTCTTAAAATTCTGTTATGGAGCAACAGTATGAATTTAAAAATTCTCATTCAACCAGGTGTGGTGGTTCATGCCTGTAATCCCAGCACTCAGGAGGCTGAGGCAGGAGGATCGCCAACAGCCTGAACTACATATTGAGACCCTGTCTCAAAAAAAAAAAGTTTTCATTCATACTTCAAACTTTGACACATAATAAGATACAACCTGTACTTTTGGTTCCAGAACTGTCATATACAAAATCAGCTTTTGAACTGTCTCCCAAATAACAGTCTATAGTGTTTTCCAGACCTATGTTTTCAGAAACTCAAGTTTCTGATGCTTTTAAGTTCCAAACATAAGTCTATAAAAAGTTTGATATTTTACTTTTCTTCTCTAGTCCTAACTCGGAACATTTCACTTTAGTTTGCTAAGAAAAGAAATAACATTATCATCTTACAATAATGTGAGTGTTTCCAATCACAGTGTTTTCCTTGCATTTTGTGTGTGTCCACGGACTGTGTGCACACACTGGGGACTGAACCCAGGCCCTGAGCATGCTACAACTCCAGCCCAAGGTACTAATTCAAAGAGCATGATAATGGCAATCTGTCCATAAGGAATACCTTTATTCTTAGGAAAGTCATGCACACACCTGTAATCCCTGCCCGAAGGAGGCTAAGGATTGTACTACATAGTGGGTTCAAGGGTTGCCTGAACTACATAGTAAGACCATGTCTCATAAATAAATAAATAAATAAATAGATAGATAGATAGATAGATAGATAAATAAATAAATGGAAAGCCCTGCTGAAATATTTAAAGGTAAAGTATCATGGTATAGTATCTAAAACTTTCAGGGCCGGGGATTTAGCTCAGTGGTTCCATCACCTGGCTCAAAAGCCCAAGGTTCCCGAGGTTTGATTCCTGGTACCAAAAAAACAAAAAAAGAAAAAAACTCTTCTAAAACTTTAAAATGGCTCCAAAAAACCCAAAACAAAACAAAAAAAATGGGGCAGGGATTTAGCTCAGTGGTTCTGCTGGCGGCCCTGCAAGCGCAAGGACTGGAGTTCAATCCCTGGCACCAAAAAAAAAGGGAGGGGGGGCATATATCTGGAATAAAGCAAATGAGGCAAAACATTAACTGGCTAATCTAGATGTTGACTGTAATTTTTTAAAAACTTTTTTAGAGGTTTAAACATTGTGTGTGTGTGTGTGTGTGTGTGTGTGAGATACTGTACTGGGAGCTGAAGCCAAAGTCATCACACTGAAGTGCATCCCCAGACTTTAAAAAAATTTTTTAAATACAGAGTCTTAGTTACTGAACTGTCCAAGCTGGGCTCAAATTTGTGATCCTCCTGCCTCGCCTCCCATCTCTGCTGTGATTACAGGCTTGTGCCACCGCACCTGGCTTAAAGGTTTAAAATGTTTCAAGGTGGAAGAAAAAAAAGCCACCTATGGTGATGCATACCTATAATCACAGATCTTGCGAGGCTGAGGCAAGAGAATCACAAGTTTGAACCCCACCTTGGACAATTTAGCAAGACCCTGTCTCAAAAAAAACACAAAACAACCTAGGGATATAACTGATTACAAAGTTCTTTGGTTCTAAAACAAAACAGCTGGCTCTGTGAGTAAAGACAGCAGAGTATAGTTACAGATTTCACTGACAAGCTTCAGTCCATATGGTAAACTTGCCAAATTGACAAGTAGACTCAATTACCAAACACATACATTTGGCAAACAGTGGCACAGGGCCAGATTACAGAGTGCTTGTGTACAGAGCTCAGAAACTTGCCCAGCAGTACTATCTTGTTTACCAAGAACCCATCCCCACAGCTCAGCTGGTACAGACAGTAGCTTCTGTGTTGCAATAATACAACCAGCCAGATGGTATTCATCCATTTGGAGTTTCTAACTTGTGACTGGAATGAGGGACGACTTATTTCATTAGATCCATCTGAAATTTACTTAGCCTGGAAGGCCACAGCAATGAAAGAACTGTGTAGGGGAAAACTTTCTGTGAGACAGACATAATGAAGATTTGGTGCTTGACGTTGCCATCCTACAGCTGTCTTAACTCCAAAGGAAAGCTTTGAAGGGCAGGATAAAATAGAAGTTGGAATCTACAATGGAACTGGATTCAGGAGGCTTTACTGCAACTGAAGTTAAGGATTACTTGGCTACCTTGCATAATAATGAAACAACTAAACAATCTGAAATTGGGCCGGGAATTTAACTCAGTTCAGTGGCGCCACGACTGCCTTTCAAGGGCAAGGTCCTGAGTTCGATCACCAGTATAAAAAAAAGAAAACAATCTGAAATTTCAGATTATCTATTTACTTAAATGTGTTTAAAGTATGTTTTGTTTTACAGACTTTTTCATACTATTTCTACATGGTATAATGGACTGAAGTTTTAAAATGACACTTATAAATCATAATAAACTATTGAGTTAAAAAAAGTTCCTGGGCCAGGAATTTAGCTCAGTGGTGTCGCCGCCTGCCTCGCAAGTGCAAGGACCCAAGTTTGATCCCCAGTACCACCAAAAAAAAAAAAAAGTTCCTAAGGGCCAGGGATTTAGCTCAGTGGTTCCACCACCTGCCTCGAAAGTGCAAGGACCTGAGTTTGATCCCGGTGGAAGGAAGGAAGGAAAGAAGGAAGTTCCTAAGTTGGTAAGAGCCTCCATTAAATTCTGATACTAAGCCAATGGTCCACATAGTTATAGTTTTCAGAAAGATTAAGCATGAATCAGTGCTTTTCTGTATTATGCCTCCAGCACAATGACCAATAATCCAATCAAGGCAGCAGTTTTTTTTAAAAAAAGATATCTTAGGACCTATTTTCTTTTTTTTTTTTTTTTTTGAGACAGTATGTATGTAGTTCAAGATGTCCTTGAACTAACTCACTATGTAGCCCAGGCTGGCCTCAAACTCTCAGCAGTTCAGCTGGGATTACAGGTGTGCGCCAGCACGCTTAGCAGAACATACATTTCTTTACACAGTGATTTTTATATGTATCAGAGTGTGGCAATCAACCTTCAAACAGCAGACACACTGATACAATGGTTAAGACATTATTAATTAGGAGGCTCTCAACTGAGTACTGTTCAAAGTACAGGCTGCAATTCAGCCAGGTCCAAAGCCCAACCCCAAGGTGTGTTAGCCATATGACTTTAGATAATTTATTCAGTATCCCTAAATCTTAAGTCTTCCTTATCCAGAAATTCTAGATACTTGTAACTGTCTACCTTGTTACATAGAGTTATTCAAGGAACTAAGAGTTAATCCACCAACACCACTTTGGACAGTACCTGGTGTACAGCGAGAACTCAACACCTACTGGCTATTAATACTATTTGTTGCAATGGTCAGCACACAGAACTGGTAAAAAACCAACCAACCAACCAACCAACCAACCATGATCTGACTTAAGTGCCTTTGCAGTCTTTCAGTAAGATTTTAGGACTTAAAGACTTGTAAAATAAGCAGTCTAAAACAGAAGGTTGACTAAGAATTAAACTGTATCACTACTACAGTTAGAGAATTTGAGGAGGAAAAACAATACCAGGAAAGGAGGCACTGAGGCCATGAAAGACAAGAAGGCTGGGGAAGTTGGGGGGTTTTTACCCACTGAATTTAAACCACCTGGTACAGGCCACCCAAAATTCTCATACCTTTGTCCTTAATAAATCACTCATGAGGAGAGTATGCTGAATTTTATTACTAAATATAAATTAATAATAATATGAGTGGGTAACATTTCAGGGCTTACTATATATCAATACTATCCTAAGTGTCTTATATTTGCATATTATTTTACTCCTCAGAACATGCCGTTGTGGAAATACTATTACTATCCACATTGAGAAAATGAAAAATCAAGGTCACAGTCTCACATCCAGTAAATGGAAGATTCAAACACAAACTCTCTTCCACAGCATCAGCTCTTAAAGGGGCCGGGGATTTAGCTCAGTGGTTCTGCCGCCTGCCTCGAAAGCGCAAGGACCCGAGTTTGATCCCCAGTACCAAAAAAAAAACCCCACCAAAAACTCAAAAAGCATCAGCTCTTAAAGTTAGCTTATTTCCTGTTATCACTAATTATGCAAATAACAATGACAAAAACAAAAAACTTTTACATTTCTCCACTCCCCTCCCCAGAATTAACAATTTGGTGGGAGACTAAATAATTGTATTGGTCTTCCATTGTTCTAATCTTTAGTTTCAAGGAAATGAAATCAGTTCACAGATGGTTCCTCATAAATTCTTCCTCAAGTAGGTATTGTGGTACACATCTGTAATCCTAGATCTGGGGGTGGGGAGGAAGCACTGAGGCAGAAGCACCACAATTTCAACTGGGCAACTTAGACCCTGTATCAAAACAGAAAAATAAAGAGGGCTGGGGGATAGATAGTTCAGTGGTAGAGTGCCCCAGGCTAAACCACAGGACTGGTGGGGTGGAGGGAAGGTGGGGTAAACTTGCTCTGACCAAGCTTTCAAGGTTAATAAGAAAAGAATAAAATCAATCAATAAATACTTTTTCCTTAATTTTGTTGTAGCTGTCCACAGCTTTAAAGGCAAAAAAAAAGAAGAAATTACCAACTAAAGTTTTAGAGCTCTTATTTAACAATTTATTTGTGGGAGGAATGATAATAGAAAAGTTTACAGAATCCTTCAGTCAAATCATAGATGCAGCTGGGCAAGGTAGCACATGCCTATAACCTCAGCACTTAGGAGGCTGAGGCAGGAGGACTGCTGCGAGTCTGAAGCCAGCCTGGGCTATATAGTGAGAACCTGTCTCAACCCCCACGGCCCCCCTAAAAAAACACAGATGCAGAGAAAATAAGGAAAAGGAATCATGTCATGTGCTTCAAGAGGATCAGCTTGAGGATATATATATACACACAAACATATCAATTAAGTATTAACAATGTATTAAATGTGTAGCTTAAGTCGCTTTAACAAATTCATAAAATGAGCAATTCTTGGTAGAATGTACATTTGCTGGATTTTACTTTATAGAATTATATGCTGTGCCATTTATATTCTCTTTCTTTTCTATGTTTGAAATGCCAATCTTTTCTCGGTGAAGGAAAACTTTATATTTTATTGTATTCTGAAATTTCTCATACTGATATTAGTTAGGGCTTTTGGGATCAGAGTGGTTCTAGTATGCTACACAAATGGCCTATTTCTGTCTTCAGACCACCTTCTCCTTAAATATATTCCCAGGTTAACTTGTAAATTTAACCACATCACTGTTTGGATTAAACTTCTTCAATGGTTTTCTACTATTTAGAAAAAGGCCAAATACCCCAACCTACCCATCTACCCTTAAGGCACTCTGCTAATAATGTTAAATTACTAAGGGTTACCATGTACATATGATTTCACACCTCTGTGCCTTTACTAATGTGATCTCCTGTGTCTACTGTATGTAAATGCCCTTCTATACTTTTTTTTGTATGTGTGGCTTAGAATTAACCATCTTGTGAGCACAAAATGTTATTTCTTTTTTTTCCGCAGTACCAGGGATCAAACTCAGGATCTTGCACTTGACAGGCAGGCGTGGCGCCACTAAGCCACATCCCAGCCCCAAATGTTATTTCTAAGCAGTAGTCACAGAAGTTCTAAGACAGCCTGTGTAACTTTCCTCTGTGTTTTTAAAATACCTTATGTATACCTCTTAGAATTAACCCTGAAATTATTCATTTATGTGAGTTCTCAAGAGCAGGAAGTAAATTTAACCCCATATTTCAAATGTTCTTGGAAACCAAGTGGAAGGCTCAGAGGACAGAATTCAGTCAATCTTTTTTTTCTTTTTGGTACCAGGGATCAAACTCAGGACCTTGTGCTTACAAGGCAGGCCCAGTGCCACTTGAACTAAATCCCCGGCCCGAATTCAATCACTCTTTTAAACCAAACTGTGTAAATTTAAGAGTTGTCACATATAAGTGAAACACTCTGAAGAGCTGTTGAGGGTCTGTCCATGGAGACTGAAGAGAAAAGCAGTTGCAATCTACTCAGGTAACATTTGACTGACAATGCTTACCTAGCTACCTCTGTGACTCGGTTCTGGAACAAACTTCCCTGGAAGGTTAAAAGTCACCAAAGAGGGGCATGAAGTCAAATCAACTTCCAGGGAGCTTATTAACCTAACAAAAGATCAAAATATATTTTAAAAGGTATTGTATAGCTAGGCAATGTGATGCACATCTGTAATCGTCATTACTTGGGAGGCTGAGGTAGGCGGACCACAAGTTCCAGGCCAATCTAGGCAATTTAGTGAGACACTTCTTAAAATAAAACCAACTGGGTACATGGCTCCATAGAAAACTTGCCTACCATGCACAAGGCCCTGGGGGGGAGGGGAAGCTCTTTTATTTAAAAAATTCTATTATTACAAGGCTGGGAATGGTGGTACATGCCTGTAATCTCAGCACTCAGGAGGCTGAGGCAGGAGGACTGCCATGAATTCAAGATCATCTGCAGGCCAGGGATTTAGCTCAGTGGTTTCAGCGCCTGCCTCACAAGCACAAGGTCCTGAGTTTGATCCCTGGTACCAAAAGAAAAAAAAAAAAAAGATCATCCTTGGCTACATGGTGAGACCTTGTCTTTTAAAAAAATTTTTTTCTGAAGTTTCCATAGCCAAGTTAAATTGGCATAAACATAAATCTTTATTTTCCAAAGCTATTTCAGTAAATATAATCAATCATTTAAAAAACTGTGTACTTTAAAAAAAAAACAACTGTTGTACTTGATAAATTCACATTAGAACTTTTAGAGCTAGGGAAATAATGGACTATCTCATGCTCCTCACAAAACAGAGGGAGAGGGTGGTCTCCCTCTGCAGGACAAACAAGGGATCCAGATGTTTCTTTATGTGAACTGTTGTAAAGAGCATTTTTCAAGGTTTATGATAAACCCAGTCTGGATGTGTTTCCATAGTAACAGGAATGGAGTGCATGCAGACAATCTATGGTAATGAACTGCCTATGCTGGTCCTTGAAAATCTGTCATTTTTACTGTTTGGCTATTTCTGCAGCAAAAATATTGAATAAAGAAAAATACATTGTAAGATACATAATGTTAAAAATTAGAAAATCATTTTGTTTTAAAGCCAAAAAAAAAAAAAAAACGTGGCACATAAAGGCAAGCATGGATTGAGTTGTAAAGAGAAAGGAATCAAATGAAGGCAAATTCTGATCTCTAACTAAATGACAGCGTTGAAAACCAGATCCTATACTTGAAATTCCTATAGATGAATCCTTCAAAAAATTTTCAGAATATGACTCACCCTTAATGATAAAAGATAAAGATCTCTAGTGTCAAGAAAAATTTTTATTTTATTATTTTTCCCCAAATCTAAACCAAGAAGAAAATGGGAGAGGGGAATTAATATAAAAAAACCCCTAGTATATGGGTTTATTAAAGAGTGAAACCAGAGCCTCTATAAAGTAAAAACTTGAAAAAACTTAATCTATAGAAAGAATGCTAACACCCCAATGCCAGGGTTTAAAAAGACTCCATTCTTTTTGGTTCTGTGTTCTGTTTATCTTTTAATCTAAATATATGATCAGAGCTGGGGGTGTAGCTCAGGGTAAAGCACTTGCCTACCATGCACAATGTCCTGGGTTTGATTCTTAGCACTGCCCCCAAAAAACCAAAACCAAAAACCACAGAAAACAAAACTAACAAAAACACTCCACAAATCCTTTAAATGTATGATCAGAACAATCCTTGGACTACAAGCTATACATTCTGTATTACCCATTTTGGCTTCATAATTTCAAAATTAATTTTCAGTAATGTAACATGCATAGTGTTTAAAATAATGGAGGTAATTTTTATTATATCTACTTTATTTTTATGTATTTATTTATTTATTTTTGGTACCGGGGATCGAACTTGGGACCTTGTGCTTTCGAGGCAGGCGCTGGAACCACTGAGCTAAATCCCCGGCCCTATTATATTTACTTTATAACCATAAGCCGTTCATCTATTTTTCAAAGTGAGTAGGGATTATTTTCTTAAAGTTTTAATTTTTTATTAGTACATGTTTGTCGTACATAATGTTTACATTCCTTGTGTGGAGTTGGTACATGCACACAACACATCTTAATTCTTAGCTGGGCATGGTGCCTCACACCTGTAATCTTAGCACTCGGAAGGCTGAAGCAGGAGCATTGCCACGACTTTGAGGCCAGCCTGGACTACCTAGTAAGTTCCAGGCCAACCTAAACTACACAACAAAGCCTTGTTTCAGAAAACAAAACATCACCCCCTGCCTCGCAAGCGCAAGGTCCGGAGTTCGACCACCGATACCAAAAAAAACCCCAAAACACACATGCACATGCACACACACAGACATATTTTTAAAAAACACAAACATATCTTAATTCTTTTTCATTCTCTTTCCCTCCCCTTTCTCCTTCTCTTGATCCCCTTCCCCTGTGAGAAAGACCTAGTACCTACTTCCTATTATCTCTTATTTTGCTCTTTATTTATACAGTACTTTGCATTTCTCATGAGAAATCATGCGATATTTAAGCTTGTGTGTCTTATTTACTTCACTTAACATTATAGTCTCAAAGTGCATCAATTTTCCTACAAATGAGTTCAGTTTATCCTTCTTTATGATATAGTACTCCATTGTGATATTTTTTTTTTGTTACCGGAGATCGAACTCGGGACCTTGTGCTTGTGAGGCAGCCAGCAGAACCACTGAGCTAAATCCCTAGCCCTCCATTGTGTGTAAATACCACATTTTCTTTATCCATTCATCTGCTGATGGATCTATAGGTCTCTTCCAAGATTTAGCTATCATGAGTTGTGCTATTATAAATGTGGATATTCATGTTTTCACTGTACTATTATCCCCTTAACTCTTTTGGGAAGACACCCAGAAGAATAGCTGGGTCAGTCAGATGGAATTTCTACTTTTAGTGTTTTGAGGAATCTCCATACTGCTTTCCATACTGGTTGTACTAGTTTACACTCCCACCAGGCAATGTAGAAGGGTTCCTCCCCATCCCAGCCCACCTCCAGTCTCACCAGCATTTGTTATTATTTCTTGATAGCCATTCTTTCTGAGGTAAGATAGATTCCCCGTGTTGTTTTAATTTGTATTTCTCTAATGGCCAGTGATGTTGAACATTTCTTCATGAATTTATTGGCCATTGGTACTTCTTCTGAGAAGTGTCTATTCATTTCAAAATGTTGTCCCCGCCCCCCCTTTTCCCCAATACTGGGAATCAACTCAGGATCTTGCACTTGCCAGGCAGATGTGGCATCACTGAGCTAAATCCTCGCCCCCCGTTACCCATATTTTGACTGGGCTATTTTGGAGGGTCTCATTTTTTGAGTCCTTTATATATTCTAGATATTAGTCCTCTGTCTGAGGAATAGATGGAAAACTTTTTTTCCCATTCTGCAGGTTGTCTCTTCACTCTGTGGTTGTTTCTTTCGCTATGCAAGATTTTTAATTTGATATAATTCTGTATCTGTTGATTCTTTTTTTGGGGGGGTAGCAGGGATTGAACTCAGGACCCTGGCACTTGCGAGGCAGGTGCGGTGCCACTGAGCTAAATCCCCGGCCCATGTTGATTCTTTTATTTTTTGGGGGGAGGGGGTACCGGAGATTGAACTCAGGTCCTTGTGCTTGCAAGGCAGGTGGCGGAACCACTGAGCTAAATCCCCAGCCCCCCATGTTGATTCTTGATACTACTTCCTTTGCAACTAGGGTTCTATTCAGAAAGTCCTTGCCTATGCCTATGACTTTTAGAATTTTATTTATTTTATCTTCCAGAAGACTAAGTGTTTCTGTTTTACCATTTAGATCTTTGATCCATTTTGCCTTTTTTGTTTGGTTTGGTTTTTTAAGACAAGGTCTCAATATGCAGTTCAGGCTGGCCTTCAACTCACCATGTAGCCCAGGCTGGCCCAAACTCCCAGCGATCCTCCTCCCTAGCCTCTGGAGTGCTGAGATTACTAGTGTGAGCCACCACACTTGGCTGATTTTAGTTTTAAAGAACTCAAATATGTACCTTAAAAAAAAAATCAGCAAAAGCCAACAAATACTAAATATGAACAGAAGCAAGGTCTATTTCTACCCTCCAGATAAGACATAATCACACTAAAAATCAATATTCTTCCCTTATAAATCGTGTCCTTTTTAATCACTTTTCAACCCCAGCCCCCCAAAAAGGTGGAAAACAAAAGAAAAAGCACCCACTTGGTTCTAAGTACCTGACCACATTTCTGCAGCATCAAAAAGGAATGAGTGTGGTTCCAGCGCCTGCCTTGCAAGCGCAAGGTCCCAAGTTCGATCCCCAGTACCAAAAAGCCCCCCCAAACCAAAAAAACAACAAAAAAAGGAAATGAGTAACAATAATTTACCTTTTATTCACTAAAAGCGCCAGAATTGACAAAATCTAGTCTAGTCCGCATTATAGACAAAAAGCAACAGCCAAACTTGGTTCCGTGACTGAATTCAATGTCAATTGAATTCAATGTCATGTGATTGAATTCAATGTCAATCTTTCAAACAAAATAGATCTTGCTTAAAAATTTTTGTCAGGGAAATACAAACAAAATTACAAATGGAAGTGGTTGTTCCAGTTATCTTTAGATTATTTTATCCTTTGAGAAAATAAACACTATTTTCACGTAACAAAATTTACTATTTGCCATAAACAAAATAAAATACTTTTAATGGCATTCAAATGTTATACCTTGGTAGGTATAGACATTTTTTAAAGTTTTAGCCACTACTGTGCAAAAGCATTATTATTTCTGAGATTTGGACAGTTTTCTTCCAACTTGTTATATTCCCACAGTAATACCAATATTGGATTTTTCAGACTTTAAGGCCATTATATAATGGCATTACCTCTACAGATGCTTAATAAAGCTTCAGTTCTCCTGTGGCTTTCTTAATAAAAGTTTGAGGGTGTCAAAATTATTCAATTCAAAGCCAGGCCTGGTGACACACTCCTGTGATCCCTGCACTCAGGAGGCTGAGGCAGGAGGATTGCTTTGAGTTGGAGGTCAGCCTGGGCTACATAGTGGGACCCTGTCTTTAAAAAAAAAAAAATGCGATTCAAGACTGCTGGTGGAACATCAAATCATTTAAAGAAGTTTATATCATTCTGGT